CGGCAGAGAGATGGAAAGAGGAACCCAGAAGCGAAACTTCAACCTGGACTTGACATGGATTTATCTGGGCGATGGGGTGTGGAAGGCCAGGGGCTGCCAGGCATCACGGCCGCATCCGAGTTCGGAGCTCGGGCCGCGGCGGGGCCCTGGGTGGAGAACCGGGTGAGGAGGGGGACGCCGGGGCGCGCGTGGGTCGTGAAGGAAGCGGAGGGAGGCAGGGGCGTGCGCGCCACCTCGCGGGCTCCGCCCAGCATCGACGGGCTTCGTGCGCGGCGCAGGGCCCCGCGGGCCAGGCCCCCCGAGCCTCCCGGAAGCCTACTCCGGGGAGCAGGCGGGACTGACAGACGCACGCGTTCAGTCCGGGCGGCGCAGGGCCAAGCAGCCGCGCCCAGAGGCTGGCAGGCAAACGGCCGCGGCCCGCACGAGCCCCGAGCTTTGGGCTGGTCGGACAGCCGCGCCGAGGCCGGCGGGACCCCGCAGAGCCCGGCCAGGCGCCCCGAAGCACACGAATCTCACCTGGGGAAAGCGAGGGTCACTCCACCAAGTTCACTTCACCCCGCCGGGAGGGAGCCTATCGCCGCTAGTCCATCAGCCAATCGCAGAGCGACTCGCACCGATTGACAAGCCTTAAAAGCCAATCAGCGGCACCTGAAGGCGGGATCCAGAGAGCCAGCGGGCAGAAGCCCGCGCTAACGGTTGCTAGGGACGCGCCAAGTACCGCTACGGCGCCGCAGAGGGGCCAAAAGAGACCGAGCCTCCTCCAGCCTGGAGGAAACCGTTTCCTCCGGTCTCGAAAGAAGGGTGAGCAGCGCGGAGCGCGCCTGGAGGTGGGGGACGCGGGAGGCTCCATCAGGAGCCACTCATACCCGAGCGGCCGACGGGGGCTTCGGCGCCGGCAGTGGATTGTCCCGGCACCTGCAAACGGAGCGGGTCCCACCCCCTGGTTCCCGGCCTCCGGCCTCCCATCCGCGCTCGACCGCGGGCGCCACACGCTGAGCGTTAACTAGAGGCGGTCCCTTCACACGGGCTCAGTCCGCGCGGCGATGCCAGGACACAATCGGCCCACGGTACAGACGCGGCCCTGAGGCCCGGGACGCACTCGATTGGCCCGCACTCTGCAGCCCCACGCAGAGACCGCCCCGGCGTGTCCCTCTATGAGCCCACGAGCCCAGAACATGTCTCGGATTCGCCTCCCCGCTCTCCTGCAGCCACGGCTCCGTGCGTGCGGCCCGGACTGCCCCTGCCTTCTTCCCTCGCAGTCGCTGTCCAGTTACCTGCGGGGAGGTGAGGTCGGCGACGCAGGGGCTCCCGGTAAGTGCGGCCTCGCGGCTGCACTACAACTCCCATGAAGCGCAGGGGCTCGGGCGCGCCAGGGACTCAGCCCTGCACTGGGATTCCATTGGCTAGGTAGGCTCGGAGCTGGAGCCCTGATTGGCTGAGGCGCCTGAGGCGACAGATTCCGGAAAGGGGACGAGCAGCCAACATGGCGGCAGAATGCGGCGCGGGCCAGCACCAGTCGCAGGAAATGATGGAGGGTGAGCGGCTCCCGGGGCAGCGGCGAAGGGCCCAGCGGTCGGGGGCGGCGACCCGCACCGCCTTGCTCGAGGAAGATGGGGCTGCCCGCCTCCGGCCGCGGCCCAGGCTCCGCCGCGCGCCCCTCTGACAGCTGCTCGCAGGCTCGGCTCGCCGGGGCGGGGCGGGGGCGGCAGCGCCGGGGAGGCGCCGGACCCGGCGGAGGGAGAGCGGCGGCGCGAGCCGGTCGATGGGTGGGGACTGACGGCGCGCCGGCCTCGGCGCCCGGTGTCCGCCGGCTGGTGGTCCGCGCCCCGACCCTCTGAGTCTGACCCGCAGGGAGGTCTTGGCAGCTAACGGGGAGACAAGGCGAAGGGCGCCGTGGGACCCGCCCGAGTGGCTCACCGGTGACCGTAGTGGGGCGGAGAAGGGTCTTCTCGAAAGCCAATAGGTTGTGGGGAAGGGGTGACAGGGAGCCCAGAGACTGAGTTCTAGAAGAGCGGGTGCCTGTTTTTCAAAGCTGTCATAGTTCCCAAAAGTCTAAATTAAAATATTTCGCTTTGTTGAAACAATTTCATGCATATATGTGCATATAATTATGCATACACACACGCATAACCCAAATTGGAAAATCAGGCACGTCGAATGCTTATATGCATTTGGCTGGGCTGGTTTCGTGGGCGGGGTACAGAGCTCCAGAAGAGCAGCCGCTCCCCCCTGTGTCATTTGTTAGGGTCGGGGTGAAGGACGAGCTGGCAGGTTGGGAGCGATCTGTGCACGACCAAAGCCAGCCTCCATCTGAACCTTGAAGGACGACCACAAATCAGCCACGCTGGGGATAGGGTAGGGGAGAGATCAAAGATCGTTTCAGGCCAAGGAAACCACGCAAAGGCACAGGGGTGTGAGAGAACGTGAGCTGTTTGCAGGAGAGTTTGACCCAGAATAGCAGTCGTATTGGATAAGGGAGGAGAGCGCCGTGAGGCTGGTGAGAAAAGGCGGTAGGAGGGTCTTGCTGAGCCGTCTTAGACTCGGACCCTGGCTCTTTTCAGGCAAGGAAGTGCTTCTTCCTACCCTCCTCCTTCCCCCTTCCCCCATCTACTCCTGCTTCCTCGTCATCTGTTTCCCTGTCTTGGTAAATGGTAGGTACAAAACCTAGGTGTTTCTCCCCCACAGTCAATCCACAAACTCTGATGCCTGTACTTCCTTAATGTCTCCGGTCTCCGGTACCTCTTCCATTCCCACTGCCGATGCCCTGAGCCAGCCTGTTGTCCCCAGTACTCCAAAGTCACCTTATATGCTGATCTGCACTCCCATGCCCAGATCCCTGTTACCCTCAGGCTAGAGTCCCAGGTTTCACCCTGGCTGCTCTTCATCAGCCAAGCCCCTCCCACCCTGGGCTCAGCTGCTGCAGACTAGTTAGTGCCCAGTACAACTTGCTCTCCCCTGGCCTTGAGCACAGAGTGCCATGTGCCTGGTAATAACTGATGTAGTGAATGTCTGTGGCCTGTCGTGCACACGCTCGCTGCTCTAGTGCCCTTTCTCATTTACTCCTGACAGCAGCTCTAGTGTGCAGGTGCTATACTATATAGTAGCTTCTTCCTACAGATGGGGGAACTGACGCTTGGAAAAGGAAACACCTACCAAAGCTGTGTGTTTGGGCACAAGATGAAACTCAGGAAGATCCACTGGCATTGCAGAAATTTTTGGAGTCAAAGACCAGATTTGGATTTTAGACTCAGATCAAATGCTCTCGCAGTGGAGTATCAATCAGTCAGAGCTGGACAGGCAACAGGGAGCCCACTTAGGAGGCCAGGCAGGAGCCTGCGCCACAGGGAAAGTGGCCGGGCCACGGCAGTTGCCAGGAAGAGACGAAGGGCTGGATTTGGGAGTTTTGGAGGTGGATTTCCTGAGAACTTGCTTTCCCCAGCAGCCTTTTCCTGGGTATTGCTTTGGCAGGCCCATCGGGAGACACAAAAATGAAATAGGACTTCCTTCCACTCAGAGCACACCCCTCTGTGGACAGGCTGCAGGTGGGAAAGAGAACACTTTCCGTATGGTTTGTGATTCCGAGTGCTGTTTCAGAGCTTCGGGTCTGCTAGACACTTCCAGAAGAGGTCAAAAAATCTTAGGAAAAAGGAAAATTATTTGGCTATCTTGCCAAAGATTTGTACCAGTCTGCCACATTCAGTTATTGCCTTATTTATTAATTCAGAAAATACTTACCAGCCTTTCAAAGCATTGAGCCAGTGTCACTCTGCTGACGTTGAGCTTCAGTGACTTTATGTGGGCGTTGTGCACTGTTCACTGTCTTTCCCTTTCCATCAGAGCTCCTCCTGTCCGCAGTCTGATTTGAGTTAGTCTTGATTTCTCTCGGAATGAGGGCCTGTGAACTGGGCTGACTTTCTTGGCCAAATGAATAGTGGAGCATGGATGAAGGCGTGTGATGGTAGGGTCATGACTGTCGTCCCCACGTGGATATCCAGGCCAAAAGCCAGCCGCTCAGGAGGCGCGTCACTGCATTTACCATTAGTACGTTTAATCAAAAATGATCTGGGGCTTTTGGATCACCTGGCAATTCTTCACAAGTTCGTGGCCTCCTCGCTCCATCCCTCCCCACCCCCATGTTCTCCCCATCACTGCACACTTCAGATGGTGCCTGGGACGTGGAAGACACTCAAGTGCTCCTTGAACGGATTCGACAAATGTTTTTGAATGAAATCTTTTGGACTTAAAACTGAAACTAAAAGTCAGCCTGTTACGCGTCCCTCAAAGGTCACGTAAAGTGAATGTGAATTCTTAACTGACGGGTGTGGATTCAGTTGACAGGCGGGTTGAATCTGAAGAATCAGGTGATGAAGAAGGGAAGAAGCAGAGCGGCAGCATCGGGGCAGACCTCAGCGAGCACGGCCTGAAAGATGGAGGAGAGCGGGGCGAAGAGGACCCAGAAGGTACCAGGCCAGGTTGACCTTACGCTCACTGGGGTGAGCAGGTGGGGCTGTGCTGCCTGGGGTCTGCCCCCAGGTGGCCGTGCTGGGTGGGTCCTGGGAGCCCTGCTGTGAGAGACAGGTTTATCTGACTGATCTTTGCTGCCGTACATTTGAGGCCCTCAGTGGCCTGGAAGCTACTGGACCGGCCCTCTGGGAGCCAATTCCCCTGAGGCACTCCCTTAGCAAGCTGGGTCATTGATGGCCCCTGAAGGCAGGCTGCAGTTTTTTCTAATTCCACTGAAGGCAGAATCCTATTTCTGATAATATTGGTACTGAAGTGTCATCTGGGACAGAATCAGTAAACTGTTTCATTAACCTTTTGTTGAGAAACAGATTTGAAGTAAATACCATGGCTCGCCCCCATGCTTGTCTTTCCTGGGACAGCGAACTGATTTCAGAATAGCACTTTCAATATTTTAGAGAAGTCATTTCTGAATCTTGCTTCAGATTATAAGCCTGCGAATCATTGTCCAAATTGCCTGCACGTTAGGAAGACAGTTTTACAGGGCAACTATCCTGATAGCAATTTGTTAACAGCAACAAATTGAGTTGAGAGATGAGAAAAATTAGGTTCTCAGCTCAGAATGGTGGTCTTCACCCTCGTCAGCCATGATCTAAGCCCTTTTTTGTTTGCTTAGAAAGTCAATTTACATTGAGAAGAATGAGGAAAACCACTTGAATAGACAGAAAAGTATCTGAGATAAATTACCAGGTGGAAAAAGCACAGTTCCGAAGAGTGGGCATGTCCGAATCTCATTTTAAAAGTGTCAGTAGTAGACGCAGATGGACAGTGACTGTGAAGGGGTATGTGGGGGGGACTTGGTGAAGGGGGGAGCCTAGTAAACATAATGTTCTTCAAGTAATTGTAGATTAATGATACCAAAAAAAAAAAAGTGTCAGTAGTAGTATGTAGTCTTATCCGCGTAAGAGAGAACACCAGACTGATGGTGAGGGCCTCATGGGGTTTGAGAGGGCCTTGTACCTTCTGCATTTTCCAGATTTATATACAGTACATGGTCCTTTTAGCATATTGGTAACTGTACATTATTACTATTACAGTTGAAAGCAACAAATTCATTCTTTTTCTAATTAATTTTTAAGATAATATGCTCTCTGTGCCAGTGAAGATGATTGGTAACTATGGCAACCTAATTTTAAGGTAGAAGGCAATTACCACAAAAGCACCAGGCATTTACTTGGGAACTTCAGTGTTGGTATTCTGGAAGTGATGTGGGTGGAACGATTGCAGGGAGATGGCGAGTGAAAGCTTCCCTCACTGACTTAGTCGCAGAAAGTCCGTGCGCCGGGACACCACCTGCCCCCACATCTCTGGGTTTTGCCCGACTCCTTTTATTCAGTCTTAGGTTGGGTGATCTCCTGTAAATCTATGGATAAACAAAGCCAGAGAAGTGTTTACAGATGTTCCACTTTTCCAAGCAGTGAAAGGCGTGTTTTGGAACGTGGTCTGTGTTCGGGCGGCCTGATTTAGTGCCACAGACAAGGAAAGAAAGGCCATGGGAGGGCGGGCTGCTGTTAGGTGAGGCAGCCCGGGCACCGCTGGCAGGCAGGCTCCCCAGTGCCAACTGGGCTCACCTGTGGCTCAGCTGGCCTGGCCCCTCCTTTCTGATGACAGCAGCAGCCACATTCCTTTCTTGGGAACTTCAGTGGCACAGATGGGAGTTTGGAGACTTGCCAGTAGCCGAATTCAGGAAACTCAGCATGCTTGAAAGATGACCGTTTCTGGAACAGGGTGCTGCCCCTGCTGAGTAGCCCCCGCTGGCCACTCCTCTGCCTTCAGGTTAGCTCAGTGAGCCAAGCAACACAGATCACAGCCCTCCTCCGATGCTCAGGGACTTTGAGTGGGCTTTTCTTCTTGTTGCTTTTTCAGAAGGACAGGAGTTGCCTGTGGACATGGAAACCATTAACCTGGACCGAGAGGCAGAGGTAAGGCCACCTGCTTAACCTGGCCTCAGGGCCAGACCTCTGACCACCAGGGCATCCTTTTCAATACCATGATTGCCGTCCTGCTTCTGTTTAACCACTGAGGGCTGTGTAGCAAACAAAACACCTTAGACTCATAAATCACATGGTCAGATGATCACGTTATTGCTGGTGGGGTCCTACCATCCCCACCATTGGAAAAGCACCGTGCATCAACGCCTCGGGGCCTGGGGAAGACCGCCTGCTGTGGGACAGCCTGCCGTGGGCTCTCCCCCAAGCCTGCAGCTAGCCACCCACAGTGACGGGAGCAGGTTCATCTCCTCCAAACTGAGGCTGATGTCTGTGCTCACGGGGGCTAGAGGGTGAGAGAGGGGTCCTTTATACTTCTCTTTTGGAGGGTCAGCATCACACAAAACTTTGAAGTCATAGGTAAACCAAAGAGCGTCTTCCACCCACCAGCTGGCCTCCTTGTAGCTCCTGTCCCAGGAAGCACGTCTTTAGGCTTCTGCCTGCAGCTCAGCTGGCTTTCTGCTTTGTTTCAGGACATTGACCTGAACCACTACCGCATTGGGAAGATCGAAGGGTTTGAAGTGCTGAAGAAAGTGAAGGTGAGGGGGCTCGGTGACCCTGGGGCCTAGCCCACCTGAGGGACATAGGGGACCTGTTGCTGAGAGTCGGTGCTGCAGGAGTGCTGGCCGGCACGCACAGCACCTGAGCTCCCTTCGCTCCACACCTGGCGGGATTCAAGCAGTCCAGGAGGCTGAGGGGCGTGTCCTGCTGCAGCTCGCACACCGAACTGCACGGTCCCTAACTCACTTCGGAGCCTGCAGACAGGTGGAGATAGGCCATGCTCCCAAGCTTGACCAACGCCTCCCTCTCCAAGTAGGTCTGCTCCCTGTGGGTGTCCGCCCGACCTGGCCAAGGTCAGCACCCTTCTAGGACACAGCAGGAGAGTGGAAACCGCATCCTCCCACCTGGAAGGCTTGTCCTCTGCCCTGTGACGCAGCTCACACTGTCTTGTGGCCTCCACTGCCTACGTCAACTGCCCTTTTTCCATCCCCCAGACTCTCTGCCTCCGTCAAAATTTAATTAAATGCATTGAGAATTTGGAGGAGTTACAGAGTCTTCGAGAGCTGGATCTTTATGACAACCAGATCAAGAAGATTGAGAATCTGGAGGCGCTGACAGAGTTGGAGTGAGTCGTGAGACCTGGGGAAGCAACTGGGGTACCTGTCCCATCTCCCCAAAACCAACCCTATGCCCCAGCTCTCAACCCTGGGGGCTCCTGTGTCTGCCAGGGTCCTGCCCTGCACCTGGCGTCCTGGGTGACATTGGCCTGCCCACAGTCTCAACCTGCAAATCAGACCTTTGACTGGAGGCTGGCATAGTTTCTGCCCTCAGCACAGTCCTGTGCAGGTGGGCGTCTTGGAGGTTGCCCCCAGCTGTCCCCTGGGCAGTGTACGGGCTGCCGGAAGAGGGTGCCGCCTCTGAGTTAGTGAGGTTCTGAATTCTGTGCGACCTATGCTTATTAAGCAGTAAATATCTTTCCTGTTCCCAGGATTCTAGATATTTCTTTTAATTTGCTGCGAAACATTGAAGGGATTGACAAGTTGACGCGACTGAGAAAACTCTTCTTGGTCAACAACAAGATCACCAAGATCGAGAACATGAGCAGCCTTCAGCAGCTACAGATGTTAGAGCTGGGGTCTAACCGCATCCGGGTAGGTGAGGCTGCGGGGGCGGCAATGTGCGTGGCCTGTGGGGGCCCAGGGGGAGGGGGCGCCTAGTTTCATCACATGCTATAATTTTTTTTTTTGGAAACAGTATTTTTTAAGAAAAAATGCTGTCTGGAGGTCAGCATTAATTGACTGTTCACCCAGATGCAGGGGTCTAGCCTTTCTGCACAGAGATTTCACTCGCTCTCCATCCAAACCACGACCTAGACCCTTAGTAAACCATCCCATGTACATCCTGCAGGAGGTGGACCAACCAGCCCTGAGCATGTTGCTTTCGAATGTGCCAATGTTGTGTCCTCCAGGGAGCCTCTGAGATGAAAGTGCCCCACGCAGGGCAAAGCGGCTCGCAGTGGCCCGGCCTCCACAGCTGGGGCCCCAGGAAGCATGTGGCAGCTCGGTGCCTGGTTGGCCCATGACCCCAGGGTACAACCGCGGATCAGCCCGCATTAGATGCTGCCTCCACCGACCTGGGAGCAGCAGGCGGAGTGGGAAGCAGACGCAGTTCCTTTTCCATGGACGCAGACGGGCCCTTACTCAGCTGACTTAGAGCCTCAGAGAAGAGCTGGGGGAGCAGTCAGAGGACTGGTGTGGGGCAGGTCAGCGGGAAAGATGAGCACATCTGCCAGCTCAGCCAGGGGGTGGCTCAGAGCCCACCTGGCATCCCAGGGGAGCGGGGCCGCCCAGGTGAGTGCCCCCAGCACCGCTCCCTCCTCTCATGTCTGAAGGAAGAAGGACGCCTACAGCACAAGGTGACCAGAGCTGGCGGGATGTGAGCCACAGCGGCAGTACTGACACGGGCCTCTGGTGACAGTTGTTAGCAGAGGAGGGCCACAAATAGCGAAGTGTAGCCCACTCAAAACCAGACAGTGGCCCAGGTGTCGGCGTTTTATCAGGTGTCTCCCGTGGGAGACCCAAGAGGAAGGTAGCTTGTCACAGATGCACGCAGGCGGTAGCAGTCGGGGTGCACTCCCCCTGAATCTCAGACTGCCCCTGCCAAGCCCTGCTGTGACGGGCAGGATGAGATGGCCTGGCCGGCTGGCGTCTCTACTGGTGTCTGCTGGAACCCAGGGAGGGGGAAGGAGCGCTCAGGACTGGCTGCTGTATGCAAGGCCCTGGGGGTGACTGCTGAGCGCAGGATCCGAGCTGGGAGACACAAGCGGGGTTACAGAGACTGAGGGGGCCTGACCACCAAGGAGCATGGGCCCCTGCTCCAGGAATCCTGAGTGGGCATCCCAAGGTCAGGACATCCAGCATCTCTCTTCTGTGCAGACCTGGGCTCTGGGGAACGTATTTTAATGGTATATCCATGTAGGATAGTATGATGTGTCCACTCAGAACTTTAGAAGTCAGAGGGACTTGAGGAGTCGCCCCACTCTGGGTTTTCAGACTGTTTGTTCCCCAGCGCACCAGAGCCCTGTGAGGACCCGAGGGCCGGGAGCCCATGGGTGTGACCGTGGACCCTCCGAGCCTCCTGGTGTTCCCGCCACGCTCCAGGGAGGGTTCACGGGACAGTCTCCCGAGGGGTATGTGCCTGCCCAGCAGTGCGGGGCTGACCCCCAGACAGCTGCTCCCTGCCCGCTGCGGCCAGTCGGCCTCGGGGGGCTCACCGCTGCCCTGTCCCTCCCACAGGCCATTGAGAACATCGACGCCTTGACCAGCCTGGAGAGTCTGTTCTTGGTGGCCCGGCCTCCACAGCTGGGGCCCCAGGAAGCGTGTGGCAGCTCGGTGCCTGGTTGGCCCATGACCCCAGGGTACAACCGCGGATCAGCCCGCATTAGATGCTGCCTCCACCGACCTGGGAGCAGCAGGCGGAGTGGGAAGCAGACGCAGTTCCTTTTCCATGGACGCAGACGGGCCCTTACTCAGCTGACTTAGAGCCTCAGAGAAGAGCTGGGGGAGCAGTCAGAGGACTGGTGTGGGGCAGGTCAGCGGGAAAGATGAGCACATCTGCCAGCTCAGCCAGGGGGTGGCTCAGAGCCCACCTGGCATCCCAGGGGAGCGGGGCCGCCCAGGTGAGTGCCCCCAGCACCGCTCCCTCCTCTCATGTCTGAAGGAAGAAGGACGCCTACAGCACAAGGTGACCAGAGCTGGCGGGATGTGAGCCACAGCGGCAGTACTGACACGGGCCTCTGGTGACAGTTGTTAGCAGAGGAGGGCCACAAATAGCGAAGTGTAGCCCACTCAAAACCAGACAGTGGCCCAGGTGTCGGCGTTTTATCAGGTGTCTCCCGTGGGAGACCCAAGAGGAAGGTAGCTTGTCACAGATGCACGCAGGCGGTAGCAGTCGGGGTGCACTCCCCCTGAATCTCAGACTGCCCCTGCCAAGCCCTGCTGTGACGGGCAGGATGAGATGGCCTGGCCGGCTGGCGTCTCTACTGGTGTCTGCTGGAACCCAGGGAGGGGGAAGGAGCGCTCAGGACTGGCTGCTGTATGCAAGGCCCTGGGGGTGACTGCTGAGCGCAGGATCCGAGCTGGGAGACACAAGCGGGGTTACAGAGACTGAGGGGGCCTGACCACCAAGGAGCATGGGCCCCTGCTCCAGGAATCCTGAGTGGGCATCCCAAGGTCAGGACATCCAGCATCTCTCTTCTGTGCAGACCTGGGCTCTGGGGAACGTATTTTAATGGTATATCCATGTAGGATAGTATGATGTGTCCACTCAGAACTTTAGAAGTCAGAGGGACTTGAGGAGTCGCCCCACTCTGGGTTTTCAGACTGTTTGTTCCCCAGCGCACCAGAGCCCTGTGAGGACCCGAGGGCCGGGAGCCCATGGGTGTGACCGTGGACCCTCCGAGCCTCCTGGTGTTCCCGCCACGCTCCAGGGGGGGTTCACGGGACAGTCTCCCGAGGGGTATGTGCCTGCCCAGCAGTGCGGGGCTGACCCCCAGACAGCTGCTCCCTGCCCGCTGCGGCCAGTCGGCCTCGGGGGGCTCACCGCTGCCCTGTCCCTCCCACAGGCCATTGAGAACATCGACGCCTTGACCAGCCTGGAGAGTCTGTTCTTGGGGAAAAACAAGATCACTAAACTTCAGAACCTGGATGCCCTGACCAGTCTGACAGTGCTCAGCATGCAGGTACCGCCCTGCCGGACGCCCGCCGGGCCAGGGCTGCTGAGCGGCCGGGAGCGTGCCTCCCCCTGTGTCCGGGCCCACCGCCTCTTCCCACCTCAGTGAGCCACGGAGACGTCAGGTCTCGCAGACTTTGTGCAAGTCCATGTCGGGCTCAAATTTCCCTCTTTCAGGGTCACAGTCCTTTTTCTAGTCCAAGTCCTCTGTGAGTTTTAGCCAAAAGGGGCTCTTCAGTAGGTTCGGTTTGTTCTGATTCCTCCTGAAGTGTTTGGCTCAGTGGTGGAAGCGATTCCTTCCACGTCTGCGAACCCTGGAGCCGGCAGACCCTGTGTCTGGGAGCTGGTAAGGGCCCACATTTGCCCAGCCTCCCGTCACCTTTTCTGTCAGAAGCAAAAGAGTGGAGTCAGACCCCCGCCACCCGCCGTGCGGGGCTGCCCTGGGGCAGCAGGAGCCTCAGCCGCGCACGCCTCTTGTAAAGCAGATGCTCTGCAGCCTCCGCTCAGCCCCGAGCACAGTGCATACTGAAAGCGGGGGTCGCTGTCTGTCTTAATATTCCCTGGTGTGACCCTTGAGTCACTGAGCTAACTGGAGGGGACCTTCCCCAAGTGCCCCTAAAACGTGGCTTCTCAGCCAAAAAGCCTTTTACCCACCGCATGAATTTTAGCCAGTGCAGCAGACCAAGATTCTGACCTCCTTTTCTGCTCTGGCCCATCTTTGGTGCGACGCCCTATCGCTACGGCTCTTGAAGAGGAGACACCTTCTTTCCCATCAGCCCTTTGGTCTTGCCCCTGCACTGCTCTGACAGCTGTTGACTCTCCCTCTTGCAGAGCAACCGGCTGACCAAGATCGAGGGTCTGCAGAGCCTGGTGAACCTGAGGGAGCTGTATCTCAGCCACAATGGCATCGAGGTCATTGAGGGCCTGGAGAACAATGTAAGATGTGTGCTTGTCTGTCTGGGACGTATGGGCATGGGCGGCTGGTGGGCCAGCACACCCTGGCCTCTGGCCTGGGCTTAGGTACCATCAGCACCTCCAGACGTTTATCATGGGGACCTTAGAGCCCTGGAAGCTCAGTAGCCCTCCCCACGCTGGGGACTGTGTATGTGTGGTGGTCTCCACGCTCCCTGGAGTGAGCGTTCAGTGGCCGCTTTGCTGCAGCCAGGGTGCCGTCTCTAAGCTGGTGGGAGATGTGCCTCCGCAGCACTATGGGCTCGGGGGAGGACGGTAAGAACGACTGTGCCTGCTCCAGGCGCCCTGCACTACAGAGGGCTAGTGGTGATGACAGTGGCCGCTGTCCCCACTCCTGTCCAGTGGCTGCCTCAGCCCTGCTTCTCAGCCCCGATTTTCAGCAGGCCTTGCAGCCTGACTGGGCGTGCTCATCCCGCCCCACCTTGACCCAGCACAAAGGCTCCTGGTGGCCCTGCCCTCCTCAGTCTAGTACTCACAGCAAATAAAATACTTTTTCTCATTCGATTTACTGAGGGTTTTTCTGTTTTGTTTAATTACCAGCCAATGTAACTGGATTGGCCACTTTTGTTACTGTGAACAGTTTCATTCTTAGTAAAGGCTCTTTTGGCCTCTCTGCCTAAGCCCCTGAGCCTAGTCACCATGAGAAATGTTTTGGGGGAAAGATACGTGCTGAGTTTCATCTCACCAACATCTACATAAAATTTTGGAAGAGTCAGAACTTGCTCATGGTAAGATTAGTCCCCGTCCTCCCCCGGCAACCAGCTGGTGAGCTTGAACCGGCACACGCTCAGGTGGCCCAGAGTGCCAGGCTGAGGCATGGTTCTGAGAGGTGGGGCTGGGATGGAGGCCGCACAAGCAGAGCCATGTGGGGGGTACACACAGGATGCCCAGCTTGTCGGGCCCACGCTTGTGAGGAGCACTGGGGCCCCTCCTGCTACCCGGTCTTCCCGTGCCAAGGCCCTGCAGTCCACAGCGAGCACCCACCCAGGAGAGGGCATGTTGGCAGCATGGTCCAAAGGAGCAGCTGGTCCCAGGCCCCTGGGGAAGAAGCAAAGTTGAGGATTTACCAGTAGGAGTGCTGCCCACCGTGTGGGTTCACCCCTGGGTCATTCTTGGGTCTCCGAAGCAAACAGCACAAAGCAGCATGAGCTCCGAAGGCCGTCGGGTCACTGTGAGGCTCGGCACTGCATGCCGGCCCTTCCCCCGGGCTCCTGCTCAGCTAGAGGCCCAGGGCTCACCTGTGTTTTCTTCTGGTTTCTCTGATTCATCTGGAATGTGTGTGGGAGCTAAGGAAGTAAAGGCGCCTTCCTCGCAGATGGCAGAGCCACTGTCCTGGAACATCGCAGGCCCCTGGGTCTTCCTGCTGCCCAGCAGGTGTCCTGCCCGCCCCTGCTGTGCTCCCGCGAGGTCCAGTAGCGCAGTCTTGGTGTGTGTGTGCCCTCCCTTTTGCTAAGCAGTTCTCATTGGTTTGCCTTTGAATGGGCTTTGGGAACTTTGTCCAGCTTCCCCAAAAATTATGAGATGTGTTAACACGCAACTGCATAGCTGTGCTCAGGGCTTTGGACCAGTTCTGGCAGCCAGAACGCCCCTGCTACGGAGCCTCCGCACTGGGGCCGCACGAGGATCCCGTTGCCCTGTTTCAGAACACGTTGGCCTCGCTGGCCTCCCCCACCTCGTGCTTGCATGTGAGCACCGCAGAAGGGTGGCAGAGGGCTGCGGGCGCTGTGTTAGTGGGCCTGGCCTGTTGCTGTGCCTCCGCACTGGGGCCGCACGAGGATCCCGTTGCCCTGTTTCAGAACACGTTGGCCTCGCTGGCCTCCCCCACCTCGTGCTTGCATGTGAGCACCGCAGAAGGGTGGCAGAGGGCTGCGGGCGCTGTGTTAGTGGGCCTGGCCTGTTGCTGGCCTGTTGTTGCACACAGGCCCCTCTTCTACGGGTTCTCCTAAGTCCCTGTTTGCTCAGAAGCCCTGCAGGAGGGAGCCTCCTGCCAGGCTGCAGTCCCTCAGTAATCCGACCAGGCACGATGGGCCCTACAGAAGCCGGCGGAGGACCCCTCCCAGGCATGCCTGTGCCCAGCCCGAGGGCCACGTGGCTTCTGGGAGCATGGCGAGGCCAGCGCTCTGTGAGATGGGATGAGCCACGGTGAGGGCCTGGCCCCCACGGAGTCAGACCAGGCCAGAGCGCTTCTGAATCGGCAGCTCTGTTGGCTGAATGCGTCTGCATTGCGGGTTTTGTTCTATTGGGACATTCTTTAACTTCCTCTTAGCACTTGGAAGGATTTGGAATAATAATCATAGGTATACAGTGGAAAATGTCAGAAGGGAGTCCTCAGTCAGAAATAGGCAGAGAGCAGGGGAAGGAACTTCCATCCAGGCTGTCAGCCAACTCCTAGATGTTCCCCTTTTGATTGGAGAAGAACTTACCAACTCTTTGTTTAAACAAACTTGGGCAAGCAATGCGAGCTCTGACAGACTTCATGATCACTGCAGTCGTGTTCTCCGTTAAGTCATGAAACTCTGACCTTAAAAAATGACTCAGGCTCAGTGTGTATTGGAAAGTGTCTGCTGGGCACATCTTAGAGCAAAGGGTCAAGGCATACACACTATGGACACAGCGTGGTCTCCACACGCCCGACGCCCAGGGCCAGGCATCCGCCCGCCTCTCTTCCATCCTGTGAATCCCAGGCCCGCTCCAGACCTGCCCTTCCCAGCACCCAGGCTCTCCTCTCTGCCCCTTCCTCCTGGGGGCCTCTTGCCGGGAGGAGGGCCACCACCGGGAGTGGCCCCCTCTGCGCCCTCTGCTGTGCCCGGGCAGCTCCTCCCTGTCAATGAAGAAGGAAATACTATTTTAAGGATTACTTGGTATTGTGGTATTTTATGTTCCCTCAAGATAAGCACCAAACAAACGTTGCTACAATCATCACCCCTTCTTCGAAGCCCATCCCGGACGGCCCTGGGAGCCTCCTGGAGCCCCAGGCCTCCCTCTGCTTTTAGGCAGGGGTTATTCTGCTCTTCCCAGGACTGTGTATCTCCCTGGGTCTTTGCGAACGGGGATTTGGGAGCCTGGGGCTTGGGTCTGACAGAACCAGTTTCAAAATCCCAGGGAAAATGAGAGCTCGATGGGGTGGTTGTGAGGCTTATAGGCATAAATTACAGCAGAGAGGCTGGGTGGGCTGCAGGAAGCAGGCACGTGTCGCCTCCCTGGCAGGTCATGTTCTGTCATGTTCTGAGGGAGGGGGGCTCTCCCCTGCCTCAAGCTCAGCACGACACTGAGTCATTGTTGAACTGAGATGACCCAGGAAAAATTCTATTTCCTTGTTTTAGAACAAACTCACCATGTTGGACATTGCGTCAAATAGAATCAAAAAGATTGAAAACATCAGCCACCTAACAGAGCTGCAGGAGTTCTGGGTGAGTCTGACACGCTGCGACTGGCGATGCTCATCTGCACGTCCTGCTGGTGTGGTGTGGTGTGAATGGACGTGGGAGCTCCAGCCCCGAGATCCTCGGCGGGAGTGGGCCTGGGGTGGTGCCGCCATGGGTGTCTGGTACTGGCTCTGTCCATGGCCTTATGCCGCCAGCATCACTGGGGAGCTTGTTAAAAATGCAGGCTCTCCAGCCCCGTGGCCCCCCCGGATGCAGACTAAGTCGAGGTGGGTGTTCTGACAGTGCCGTGCAGTCAGCAGTGCGAATCTGCAGGGAAGTGTGAGAAGCCCTGCACTAACTATAGTTAAATTGGAGAATCGCTGTGCACCTAAAAGGTTTCCAGACACAGCCAAGGGGCCGGTGCCTTCAGTGCGAATGTGTGCCAGCACGGAGAAGGGGAAGCAGTGGGGTGTCTGCAATCTGTCATCCTGGAACTCACCTGTGTTTGCCTCATGGTATTAGGCATGTTTCTCGGGAGCAGTTCTGTAGAGCCAGTAGGTGGACAGGACGTAAGGAGCTGTGAGACCCTCTAAAGGGGTTGCACAGTGATCAGCGAGGGGCGGTCCTCAGTGCCAGGACCCACTCAGGTGTTCCCCTGAGGCATCCTGCTGCCCGCCGCCCAGCTCCTGGCCCCACCACGCGTTTCACCTGAGACGCTGCAGCGTGAGTGCTGTCCTCCGTGTGGTGGGTCTGGTCCAGGATTCCTGCTGGGTCCGAGGCGTGACTCTTCCTTGTCTAGCCACGCTGCTCACCCCACTTACACCCTGTACGTTCTCCTCTCCTCATCTTCAGAGAGCGTCCGGCTTTCCCTAGAAAACAGGAAGCATGCTGTGGACATGCCCCTTCTCCTTGTTAGTAGCACTGGGTCTTTGGGTGGTGCCAGAGTGGGTCTGGGAAGACAGAAACCAGGGCGAGACGGTGGGAAAGGTGTTCCCGGGCTGGGGAGCAAGTGAGCCGCCGCGAGGAAGGTGCAGCCGGGGTGGGCTGGTGGGGTTGGGACGAAGGGGTTTGGTTCTGAAGAGGCCAGTGGAGCCCACAGAGAAACCAAATGACAGGGCCAGCCATCCAGAGGCGGGGACCTGGGCAGCGGGCAGAGGTGCCTGGCAGAATCAGGGAGTGAGTTTGGGAAGGCTGCTGATCCGAAGCAGTGTTTCTGACGTGTGTGACCCCTCCCTCTGCCTGCCCTGCCAGGGACCAGCATGGGCCATGGGGTGCTAAGGCCACAGGTAGGGGCCAGCGAGGCTAGGAAGACAGGCAGGCAGGCTGGCAGTTGCTGGAGGCTGGGTAGCACCCGGCCCTGGAACACCCAGGGGAGTCCTGTTTCTTGGACCACCAGACAGAGACAGTAAAGTTAGGATTTGTACAGTGCCCTCCCTTCACAATGCCCTCCCTCGCTGTCTGATGGTCGCGACAACCCTTGAAGCCTGCGGGATGCCCCCATTTTACAGCTGAGGAATTGATTCCCAGAGGGGAAGTTGCAAACTAGGAACCGTCAGACTGTGCTGTGCCCACGTCACAGGTGAGCTGTACTGAGCTATAGCTGGTCTCTAGGGGAGAAACAGGAAACTAGGCATTATGGTGTCAAATTACTGGGTGTCTAGATTTTTGTTGTTTTTCTTTAAAGTGTATTGGACCTTTTATCTGGCAGACAGTGAAGACCCTGATTGGTCTTTGAGGCCTGCTTAGCTCTTCCAGTGGAGCTAAGAGGCCTGCCCCCTAGTAGTGCCCGAGGCAGGGTGCCCTGTTCCTAGGCTGTGGCTTCCTGGGTCTCCGGGGAGTGTCCTGGGTGTTGAATGCCATCTCTCCGCTCTGCTTGTTGAAAGCACAGACGCATTCCCCCCCCTGGCCTGCTCTGCCCATCGATCGGCTCAGGGCTTCCTGGGGCTTTTTCATTGGCCAATCTATAGGGTTTTACTCTACTTCTCACAGCTTAGTTTGAGTCCAAGTTCAAGGGTGGATTTCTGGAGCCTTTTTGCTTCATGGCCCACTCCTCTCCAGAAGGCCCATCTGCCTCTGCACCCCCAGACTGTGGACACCACCTCAACTCAGTGTGGCGGTGGGTGCTGCCCAGGCTCCCTCCCTGTGGTCCAGGGAGGGCCCCAGGCAGGGTCCCTTCCCTCAGGGGCCTCCGTCCTGGACCACCTTTGTCCAGCTTGTGAGAACACTTGTTTCATCTCTGTTTGTCCTGTTTTCCAGTTGTTTATTGCAAAGAAACCACTAATGAGAAACACTAGAAGCATTGACTACCTAGTGGCCACAGTGGGGGTGCAAGGAGGCAGGCGTGGGACCGACTTCTCTGAGTACACACGTTCACACAGTTAGGGCTTTGGAAATGCTTTGCACATCAGGAAAAAGGTTTTAACCTACAGTTGAAAATGAGCTGAAACAAAGGACCCCAAAACAATTTAGATTAGTACAACAGCCACACAAGGAAAGAGTTGTTTAAAGGGACTCTGAAAACAGTGCTCTGACTGTGTGGCCTTTGTGAGATGTTCTAATGACAAAAATAACTCCAAAGGAGCCTTGGACTTCACTCAGCAGTTCTATTGGGAGTAATATTGGTATTATGATTTTGAAACGACTTTAAGTGTTTTACAGGGTAAGCAACTCCATAATGGGAGTAGGACCCCGCCTGGCATTCCCCATTCAAGAGAGATGCCAGGTCAAAGGGGTTAAGAAAGCGGCGAGTGTTACTTTTGGGTTTGGCCAGTTTTAGGCATGAAGGTGTAGCGGCGCCAGTCATACCGTTGCACCATAAACAGCTACAATATGGCCAAGTGTGCACAGTGGCTGTTTACAGGCTGTGCCTTGAGAGAAGGGAACTTGGGCCCAGCCAGAGGGCGGCCGCCTCTCTGGGCACAGGAAGCAGAAGTGGAGCTCTGCTGGCTGGGTTCTCAGGGCAGGTTCCCTGCAGGGAGGTTGCCTCAAAGAGAAGGAGCCCAGAAGTCAGCCTTCGGACTCCTTAGCCAAAGAATGACCTGCAGGTGCACGGGGCAAAACTCAGCCAGTCCGGGCAGAGGGCGGCTGCAGTGGCCACCCAGTGCTCAGAGACACTGGCGTCAGCCCCAGGGTGGGGGCTGTCCAACACCGGATGCCCCGTCAGGCAGAGGAGGCTCCAAAGCCTGTGGCCGAGCCTGCACAGCACCTTCTAAAGGATGGGGACAGAAGCCCGGCTCAGCAGTGTAGTGGCCCCAGTCTAGGTGGGCAGAGAGGCAGTGAGTGTGGCTCCTCACAGGGAGGAAAAGTGCCAGTAGAAGTGGTGGGGGGCCATTGCTAATGTGCCTCCACCCAAGGCCCTGGACTCACACCCACGTCACCCCTCCTGTGAGTGCACGTTGGCCTTACTGATTCACTTCTAACGCAGAGAATACAGCAGAATGACAGGATTTCACCTCTGTGGTTGGGTCAGGAAAAGACTGGCTTCTCTCTTGCTCTTTCTTGAATCTCAGGTTCATGTGAAGTCACAGATAACACCTTTGATTCAGTCAGCATGCAAGACACACATCCCCTTTGCTGAACTGTGCTGTAGGTTTTCAGGAAAAAGTGATTTTGGTGTTCTACCAGCTGTGTGTGGAATGCATCTTGTACTACACCTGTTTTGTATAAAACAGAGTTTGGAGGAAAGTAAACGCAGGTTTTCTATATAGAAGTCAGCCAAAAACCATTGCAATGGAGAAACGTACATCCTACAAGGTTGGGTCTTGAAAAGCATGAGGTTGTCTGCTGGGAATCATCAGCCAGGGAGGCGTCTGTCACCGAGTCCCTGTGGCTGAGGCAGGGATCATCCCTGCACACTGAAGTCACTGCAGAGCTGCTTGTTTACCCATGTGCCAGTGTCTCTGTACAGAGAATGTGCTAACTGCAAAGGGGGATGTGCTCCCCAGAGTCATCAAGGGTCACCACCTACCACATGATCAAACTTAGCATCCTGGTGGTGGGGCAGCCGGGGCACGGGCCCCCCACTGGGATTCATCTGTAAAGCTTACCTGCCAGAATGAGTGTGCCCCAAGCAGGCATTAGGCTCACTTCAAGTCTACAGGATGCAGGAGGGCTAGAACAAGCTAAGCGGCACCCTGGCACCACGGGGCACCCGTGCAGAAACCCAGAGCGGGCGGTGCTCTGCAAGACAGTCAGCTGGGCTTCTTTTACAAGTAGGCTTCATTTAGCAGGAAAACCCGTGAGGAGGTGGGAGGTACTCAGGGTCAGAAGAGACCGGAAGCCGCACCCTGGGGAGAGGCGCTCTTAAAGCGACGGGGCGCCTCTGTGAGCACCCCACGCCCCAGCCCCACTCCCTCACAGCCAGTAAAGGCCCTGTTTTATCTCCACCCGAGCCCAGGCTCGGGAGATTCTGGAATGGCTATGGAAACAACCGAGGTAAATGGTTTCGGGTTCCATTTTTGGAAAAATACAAAAATGAGAATCTCTAAAAGTTCTCTGTATCAAAGACATCATTCACAATGCACCATTGATGATGAGTGAGATTCCCAGTTCTACGTTGTACTAAAACTGGAGAAAACTCTCCTGTGGCTGGTTGTACTAAGAAATAAGAAACATTGTAAATTTGACAAGACCAGGAGTCTATAAAATAGCACACCACGTGGACTAAAGGAAGTGCCGTGATCTGCGAGGCGGGGAGCACGCTGGGGCCAGAGACAGATAACCGCCACGCAGTGGTCCCGGACAGCATGGGCCGGGGCCGCACAGGGCCACATACACACAGGTATTTTCCAATAAATACTTTGGAAAATTTGGGGAGGATTCATGACAATTTGAAAAACCATCTTCTTTTCTCTAGCTTTATTGTATAAATACAGTGTATATACACGTTAACATGTAAAATATGTGTTAATTGACTGTTAATTCAGCAGTGTAGTGGCCCCAGTCTAGGTGGGCAGAGAGGCAGTGAGTGTGGCTCCTCACAGGGAGGAAAAGTGCCAGTAGAAGTGGTGGGGGGCCATTGCTAATGTGCCTCCACCCAAGGCCCTGGACTCACACCCACGTCACCCCTCCTGTGAGTGCACGTTGGCCTTACTGATTCACTTCTAACGCAGAGAATACAGCAGAATGACAGGATTTCACCTCTGTGGTTGGGTCAGGAAAAGACTGGCTTCTCTCTTGCTCTTTCTTGAATCTCAGGTTCATGTGAAGTCACAGATAACACCTTTGATTCAGTCAGCATGCAAGACACACATCCCCTTTGCTGAACTGTGCTGTAGGTTTTCAGGAAAAAGTGATTTTGGTGTTCTACCAGCTGTGTGTGGAATGCATCTTGTACTACACCTGTTTTGTATAAAACAGAGTTTGGAGGAAAGTAAACGCAGGTTTTCTATATAGAAGTCAGCCAAAAACCATTGCAATGGAGAAACGTACATCCTACAAGGTTGGGTCTTGAAAAGCATGAGGTTGTCTGCTGGGAATCATCAGCCAGGGAGGCGTCTGTCACCGAGTCCCTGTGGCTGAGGCAGGGATCATCCCTGCACACTGAAGTCACTGCAGAGCTGCTTGTTTACCCATGTGCCAGTGTCTCTGTACAGAGAATGTGCTAACTGCAAAGGGGGATGTGCTCCCCAGAGTCATCAAGGGTCACCACCTACCACATGATCAAACTTAGCATCCTGGTGGTGGGGCAGCCGGGGCACGGGCCCCCCACTGGGATTCATCTGTAAAGCTTACCTGCCAGAATGAGTGTGCCCCAAGCAGGCATTAGGCTCACTTCAAGTCTACAGGATGCAGGAGGGCTAGAACAAGCTAAGCGGCACCCTGGCACCACGGGGCACCCGTGCAGAAACCCAGAGCGGGCGGTGCTCTGCAAGACAGTCAGCTGGGCTTCTTTTACAAGTAGGCTTCATTTAGCAGGAAAACCCGTGAGGAGGTGGGAGGTACTCAGGGTCAGAAGAGACCGGAAGCCGCACCCTGGGGAGAGGCGCTCTTAAAGCGACGGGGCGCCTCTGTGAGCACCCCACGCCCCAGCCCCACTCCCTCACAGCCAGTAAAGGCCCTGTTTTATCTCCACCCGAGCCCAGGCTCGGGAGATTCTGGAATGGCTATGGAAACAACCGAGGTAAATGGTTTCGGGTTCCATTTTTGGAAAAATACAAAAATGAGAATCTCTAAAAGTTCTCTGTATCAAAGACATCATTCACAATGCACCATTGATGATGAGTGAGATTCCCAGTTCTACGTTGTACTAAAACTGGAGAAAACTCTCCTGTGGCTGGTTGTACTAAGAAATAAGAAACATTGTAAATTTGACAAGACCAGGAGTCTATAAAATAGCACACCACGTGGACTAAAGGAAGTGCCGTGATCTGCGAGGCGGGGAGCACGCTGGGGCCAGAGACAGATAACCGCCACGCAGTGGTCCCGGACAGCATGGGCCGGGGCCGCACAGGGCCACATACACACAGGTATTTTCCAATAAATACTTTGGAAAATTTGGGGAGGATTCATGACAATTTGAAAAACCATCTTCTTTTCTCTAGCTTTATTGTATAAATACAGTGTATATACACGTTAACATGTAAAATATGTGTTAATTGACTGTTAATGTTTCAGTAGGGCTTCTGATCAACAGTAGGCTACTAGTGAAGTTTTTGGGGAGTTGGAAGTTAGACACAGTTTTGCATGGTGGTCAGCCCTTCAACCCCTGTGTTGTTCAGGGGTCCACTGTATTGAAAAAGAGAAGGTGGGCACTGCACCACATCCTCTGCCAGTGCTGGGAGCCTGAATCTAATATCAACTGCTGATGATATTAGAGACAGGTTTTTAAATAGAGTGTGCCACAAAATCATCTTATTTCTTCTAAGCAGAGTCATATGAGTACCTGGTTAATGAATGTGTTTCTGTGTGTGTTATCCTAAAGTGTTTAAGGTACGTGCATCATTACTGTGATCCTGCATTTTAGGCAGGCTCTCATTAACCCACTGACTGCAGTTACCCTTGTCCCATGGAGGGCAGGCTGCTTCCCCGCAGGCCCCGTTTTGCACTGTCCTCCGCTGTGGTTGTCCAGTGAAGGTCCCTGCAGGCTGACAGCCGACGGCCGCTCTTAGTCTCAGGGCCTGTGACTCAGCTCAGGAGGAGGCTTCCGTTCCTCCACAAGGGCCGAGCTCTGGGTGGTGGGAATCTAGATTTCCCAAAGCAGGTGATGTCACAGGTCCTCAAGAAGCTCTGTGAAAACAGGGCTCCCCAAACCCACTTTAGCTCTTTACTGAGAGAGGGGGCCAGGGCCACGGTCAGAGCCACGGCATCTCTCCTCTGCCTATCCTGATTCGGGTTTGCCCCTGTCGAGGCGACACGGCCCAGCTCGGGGCACGTACAGGTGCCCTTCCACCTGCAGCCCTGCTGAAAGGTGACCAGGTGTACCAAGAGGGGACGGAAGGCTCCGCGGGGTGCCGGGGGAGGTTTAAGACCAAGCCACCCACCCAGCTCCTGGGTGGGGAGGACCCAGGTGCCCCTGTGCCTCGCGTCCGGGCGGGGCAGGGGCTCCAGGCGGGCCTGTGCCAGGGCCCTCCAGTGTGTGTGCTCACGTGTGCGCGTGTCCTCCCAGATGAACGACAACCTCCTCGAGAGCTGGAGCGACCTCGACGAGCTGAAGGGAGCCAAGAGCCTGGAGACGGTGTACCTGGAGCGGAACCCCCTGCAGAGGGACCCCCAGTACAGGCGGAAGATCATGCTGGCCCTCCCCACCGTGCGGCAGATCGACGCCACCTTCGTCAGGTTCTGAGCCTCCTTGCTCCCGCCTCGGCCCTCTCTTCAAAGAGCTTCCCAGCCACTGTTTTCTGACCTGCCTGTTGCTCCTGAAACCACCACTGACAGTCACAGACCCAATGGCAATAAAAGGCCTGAGCGATCACTGCCGTGTGCGGGGCCTGCTCACCGCTCTGGGACGCCATCGTGATACATTGTGCCACACAGTGTCCCTAGCTAATGTCCCACGGTCCGGGTACCCCATGTCCCGCCACTGGCCCCTCGTTCCATGTGTCCTCTGATGGGAGGAGGCCCCAGCCCTGCCTGGCAAGGGCGGGCCGGTGCTCCTGGTGCAGGGGAACTAGGCCATTCTGGGGCCCTCGAGGCCTATCGGCCAGAGCTTCTCAGCCAGGTTTATTCCCAATTATATGTATTAAAAAACAGAAAGCTGTGAGCAGGGGGTGGTGGCCCTGTGCTGTGGCCCCCAAGCCCTCCCCGGGCATGCCCCCACCCACCCACCCAGCTCTGAGGCCGGTAGTGCCCGCGCGGTTGAGAGGAGACCACTGGCTCCCCGAGCGCAGGGCTGCTCTCACAGCATGAGCCCCCCTCCGGATCCTCACGCTGTTACCTCCCATGTTACCCCATCATCAGGCTCTGTTCAGATTTACATCAACAGCCCCCTGGGGCCTGAATGTGATGCCACAAGGACCCTGTCATCCTTGGGTCTCAGTCCCCCTTCTGCAGAATCAGACTGAATCATGGGGTCACCAAGGGTCCCTCCTACTGCAGGATTCCGGAGCCGCCCTGCCCAATATGGGAGCTGCTCACTGCCACACGTGGCTGCTTCAGTTCAAATGTAAGTCTGTTAAAATGACAGGCATTCAGGCCGTGGTTGTGTTTGTGACATTCCGAGTGCCCAGTGGCCACATGTTGCCAGGGGCCACCTGTTTCCATCGTCACAGAGGACTCTGCTGGACAGACTGCCCCAGGCCAGGGAGCCCATGTCCGAGGCCCGGCGACAGCTTGTCCCCTGCCAGGGAAGTTGTAGGCGTGGGTGGTCGGCCGAGGGTTAGGGACGTGTCTGGTCCTGACTCTAGTCTTTGCCAGAATAAATTGTGTGATCCGAATCTGTGAGTGTCCACCGATAGAAGAGCAAACTCCTAAAAAGGAAGGAGGGCTTATGAGGGTCATGGCCCCAGACAGGGCTCCTGGACTGTCCCCCTAGAATTCTGCCCCTGACCAAACCCTGAGGACGGAGACACCTTCAAAGGCACAAGCGTTCGGCATTTGCATGCCGTTGCCGTGGAAGGGTTTTCGGAGGAGTTGCGCAGCCAAACCACAGATGAGTCCAAGTGCGGAGCTGAGGAAAGGGCGCCGGTGGAGAAGCGGCAGTGGCCTCCCTGACCACACGCAGCCTGGACGTGTCTGGTGTGGGTGTGGGGCTGTGGTCTCTGCCTGCCAACTAGTTCCAGGACAATTGGTATGAAACTGGTTTGAGCCACAAGTTCCTGAGCATTGTCCATAATGCAGGCCAGAATTCTTGACAAGATACAGAATACACCCCCCAAAGAGTCGGCAGCTGCACCGCGCAGTCATGTCTGCCCGGTCTGGGAGGTAGAGGGGGAAGCGGGCTGCGTGCCGTCACCTTGGTGTGGCAGCAAAGGAGCCGAAGCTGCTCCGTGAAGTCCGTGGTAAACGCAGGGTCAGCGGAGCCCCTCGGGAGCAGAGGCGAGTCGCGGAGCCCCCCCGCTCAGGAGGAGGAAGAGGGCCCAGACGCTCCAGGTGAGGACGCATCTGAGGAGGAAGGTGCCAGGCGGCACCCCAGGCGGCAGCTGGCAGGGTGGCCCTGTGGCCCCTGTGGGAGGCGCCCCAGGCAGAGGAGGCTTCCCGGCATGGGCCGCAAACTGGAGCCCAGCACCTCTTCTTCAACAGACTACGCGAGTGATGAAGGGGCGGGAAGGGGGTGCCGAATCCGGCACAGTCCTCTTCAGCGTGTGTTTGTTTCTTTGAGGAACTCATTAAGTTCTAAAATATACATGGAAGATCCACATCAAACCTTGAAACTTTGAAGCAATTCAGTGAACTTTGAAAAAGAAGCTGGAGAGGTGACTTCCTGCAGAATCTGAAAGCCACAGACCATAGTGAGAATGATGCCAGCCAGCCTTGGCAGACCTCGGGCAGGGCGTCGCGTGGGGCCTCAGCGGCTGGCCGGGTGGAGGGGGCCCACGGGCCGGGGGCAGGATGGCGCTGGGCAGAGGACCCCGCCTTGTGGAGAACTCTCGCTGGACCCTCCTGAGCATCACATGCCCGGCCGGCTCCAGGGCATTAAACCTGAGTGTGAAAAGTTAAAGTAAGTCGGTAGAAGAAATGTGGAGAAATACGTTTGTGAGCCAGAAGTGGGGGAGAGCTTCTTAAAACCCCAAAGCACAACTGTAAGACAAGATTTGTATGGGTTTGGTTACATAAGAGCAAAACGCCCTGTAGAGCAAGACACACAAGTAGACACACAGATTAAGAGATGTCTGCAGTGTTTAAATCTGGCAAGGGCCCAACATTTAGGTACAAAGAATTTCAGCAAATCTAAAAAGACAGGAACCCCCATAGAAACAGGGCCAAGGGCAGGAGCAGGCGGTGCGGAGCCAGAGGGCCACGCGGCCTGGATGCCCCAGTGCTGTCCTCAAAGTGCAAACGGGGACAGAGCCGGCGCTGCGCAGCCACGGACACTCACACAGCTCCCGACGAGGGAGTGAGCCGAGCAGGCTGCCCCTCCAAAGCCCAGACACAGAGCCGCCGCTCCTGCACGCCAGAGGCACGGCTCTTGGGCCCTGGGCACAGTGGTGGCCGAGGCCGGCAGAGGGACCCGCTGTACCCTGAGCCCCGAAGAGCACCCGGCACTGTGCTGAGTGGGCCTTGGGTGCAGTCCGTGCCCCTTGGCTGGGAAGGGGCCGCAGCCCCGCGGACTAGACTCCACGGAGCACATGTAGCTCTCCAAGGGCGCTTACCTACAGGAGCGCTCCCTACCCTGGGGGGTCAGGGTGGGGCTGCTGCAGCCAGAATCCACACCTGGGGAGGGGCCACCCACCCGGACCCCACAGGAGGCACCTTGCAGAGGGAGAAGGGAGGGGGTGTTGTGGAGGCAGGGTGGGTGGGCGTTGAGATGGGGCAGATGTGTGGCCACAGGGAGACTGGGATCCACTTGTGGCCTAGCCCTGGGCAGTGTGAGGGGCGTGATGTCAGGAAAACAGAGGGGGCACCCAGCTGGCAGGCCCTGCAGGGGCCTTTCACCCCAGCCATTTGTTCAGAGCAGCATTGTGCCCACCCTCGGTGAGGCACGTTTACTCTAAAGCAGTCTGACGCATCTGCCCCCTTTCCAGGCTGCCTCACAACTGGGGGTGGCCTGAGACTCATGCTTCACGGATGACCCTGCGTTCCTGAGGAAAAGGGCAGGCACAGCTGTCACGGCTCCCTGGATGTGGACGTGATGGCTGGACCGGCTGCAGCCACCCGGCAGCCCATAAGGGAAGGGCTCTGGCCCTCACTTCCTGGAGCCACTGAGTGGACTCAGGTGCCACCACCTCCTCACTTCTTGTGAGGTGAGATGAGGAAGGAGGTCTTTTCGTTACTTCCACCAAATTTATTTCTAAATGTCACAAAAATGTATGTAAAAAGTTATAGTCAAATGAAGGTGGTGTAGCAGATCCTGGCCCCCGGGGCCCCCCAGCAGGCCTGTGCTAGTTGCAGCCTGCCCGCCTCTTCCTGCTCCCTCCCTTTCTTCCTCTCTCTCTCTCTCTCTCTTTCTCTTTTTTAAAACTGCAAAAATAATGCAACTTGAAAACGTTTCCAGCCGTAAGACATTATATGAAGTGACTCGGAACCACCCCCGGGGGCGCTCCCGTGCAGACTGTGTCAGCCACCTGCCCCCACCGCTCCTGGGTGCTCGGCCCTGAGGCCGTCAGAGCCACTTGGCCACTGAGGGCAGAGAGCCGGGATGGTCCTCTGCAGTGGTTGACCAGAGCTCCAGACCAGGAAGGTTCTGGGCCGTGCCTTCCCCTCCAGAGGCCCGTGAGATCGAGAGGCCTCTGCCCTGCCTGGTGCCCACTCCGTCCCTGGCCTCTGGAGCATTCTGAGGTGAGGTCTTGAATGGGAACCCATCTCAGGGTCTGGGTTAGGAGAGCTTGACCCCACATACCCTCAGTGCGGACACCCTCGGGCCCAGGGGGTCCTCGTGCCTGCTGGGCTCTGCTGGGCGAGAGGGAGTGCCACCTGCAGGGGCCTGACCCGCTGTTCAGGGGCTCCTGGGGGGGTGTGGGGACCAGGGTGGCTCCAGCCAAGACAAGGGGCTGCCTCGGGCTTTAGCGGGTGGAAGAGGCGCCATGAGGAAGAGCTGTGTGTGGAGGGCCAAGTACGGTAAGTGGCCCCCAGGAGACAGGCACTGGGCTAAGGAGACAAGAAAGGCCGGGGAGCCGCTGTGCCGGGTGGGATCCTGTCCTGCGATGCATAGGCCACCAGAAGGCAGGTGGGAGAGGACCCCAGAAGGCTGGGCAGGCACCCCTGGCCTATCAGGGCCCCAGTGTCCTGGACTGGGGGGCGGGGAGCTCCAGGATTCGCCTGGAGCCAAGAGGCCTGGCACGGTGTCTGCTCCGCCTTGGGGGGAAGGCCAGGTGCTCCGTGTGGCTCCAGACAGAGAACCCAACCCGAGGGAGCTTGTCTCCCCCTGTCCAGTGACCCGCCGAGGAGCAGAACACTGAGCTTCTGTGGCCGGGGCGCCCTCTAAGCCTCCACTCTACACAGAGCATCGCCACCACCACCCACTCACCCCAGCAGGGATGGGGCCCCGCACAGACCTCCCGCAGGGCCTCCTGGCCCGTGATGCCACATCCTGGCTCTGGGCCACCTGGAGCGAGGCAGGGGGTCCGAGCTGCGGGCTCAGCCCTCTGCTCCTCCCAGCCTCGGGCTCTCTGGGCCGAGGGGCCGTGCCCTGACCCCTAGCTCCTCCACCCTCGTGCCCGCCCAGCCCGCTCACATCCCTCCTTCCGGGCCGCTGGGCTCTGCTCACTCTTTGCCCGCTTTGCCAGCCTGCCAGGCCTGTGACCCCCAGAAGGACCCAAGGCCCCTGCTGCATCCACTAAAGGGTGTTGTCTGCTCCCCGTGCAAGTGAGCAGAAGGAAGGTGGGGGCCAGCCCACCCCTTGGGGTCCCCTCAGGCCCCACTGCCCCACATGGGGCTGAGGGGAAGAGAGGTACACGGTGGACAGCCACGGGGGCCCCCATCAAGGCAGCTTGGGCCCCCTCCCAAACCAGAGCCCTGTGGCAGGCTGCCGGAGACTGGACCCAGCCTGGACCCCTACTCACCCGCCACCGGACGCTGTGAACTGTGGCTGGGGACCTTGGCTGTGTGGCCCTGCCTCTCAGGGCAGGTGGTGCCAGGAAGCTGAGTCCACAGGATCACGAGTGCAGGGTGTGGCTCGGTGCCTGCTGGGGGCAGGGGCTGAACGTGTGGCCAGGCACCCGTTCCCGCACTGGCACAGCCAGTCTTCGTCTGCTCCTTCCCAACCCTCCCAATAGCTCTTGGCGCCTTTCTGCCATTGCAGGAGGAATCCCCTTCCCCCAGAGTTCCGTGAACCACGCAGATCTTCCTGAGAGCCCTGCGGGGGAGCCAGGGGGAGGGGCGGCCCCCACAGAGGCGCCTGGGGGCTCTTGGGAGTCCGGAGGCCTCGTTCCTGCTGTGCCCAACCCCAGGCCCCACCTGGGAGAAGGGGTCATTCTTCCTGGGTGTTTCCGACTCCAGGAAGCTCAAGGGCTGGTGGCAGAAGCGGCAGCGGTCCAGGAGGAGGAAGGTGGGGCTTTTGCCGAGGCTGGACAGGCGCCCCGGGAGGCAGACGAGCTTCTTCCGTGGGAGGGCCTGTTTGACGAGTAACTCGAAGTGGGCAGGAGCCACCAACGGCCAGCACTGTGGGCAGGGAGGGCACCGTGCCCCTGGGGGCTTCCAGCCTCAGCATCCCATCTACATCTACCTTGAAATGTGACGCAGGGGTGGGGCTGGGGGACAGAGGTCCCAGGTTGAGCCAGGCCTGCAGGGGATCGGAGAACTGTGGAAGTTGGGGCAGGCAGTGTCCAGGGAAGGCTGGCCGAGGTGGGAAGGGGCAGCGCCTTCCAGAGGCCGGAAGGGGACCCGGGGCCATCGACGGAGCTCTCCTGGAGAGGCCTCTGTGTCCCCTCCCAGAAGGCCAGGGCCACAGCCTCGGTGGGAGGAGAGCAGTGGGGTGCTTGGGAGACCAGGCTCGGGCCTGGGGACTGGACTTTCTCCGGAAGTGTCCTCAGTGCCCGCACTCGGACCCTCAACTGTGCCTTTGCCAGCCGGTGGTCTGATAGACCACATCAGGGCCCACCCGTAATGTCAGTGTCACATTGGCCCAGCCTGTTGCTCTGGCCTCCCTGGCCCAGAAGACATACAAGGGTAACAGTAGTGGCATCTACGGATAAAAGGGTGGACAGCCGCCAGGAGAGCCTTGCTTTCTCGTGACCGCGAGGGGGGTTGGCTCTGTGTCCTGCCCCACTGGGCAGCAGGCAGTGGGGCCTGGTGCTCCCGGCAGTGACTGCACGGAAGACCCAGGAACCTCTTTCCCGGAGCCATTTCCCGAAGCTTCCCGGAGGCAGGGAGCCAGTCCTCAAATCAGAGGCAGGTTTCTGGGGCACCCGGCCAGGAGGGGCCCAGCACTGGGGAGGCCAGGTGCACAGTCCCTGACCTCTTCCAGCCCCTCGGGGGCAGTGTCGGGAAGCTTCCTGGGGGAGGGAGCCTGGAGCTCAGTCCACAGGATAAGAGCGGGAGGGGCAGGTGTAGCCAGAAGCTGGAGCCCTCTCCAGAGGCGCGGGCAGGGGTCACGGGGTGCGGGCGAGGCCCGGCGGGGACCCCCGCCGCCCACCAGCGGTGCTGCAGTTCGGCTTCGTCACCATCTTCGTGGCCGCTGCGCTCTCAACAACTGGGTGGAGGTCCGCCTGGACGCGCCACGTTCGTCTGCGAGCACCGGCGCCCTGTGGCCCAGCGCGCGCAGCGCACCGGCATCTGGTTCCACATCCTGGAGGGCCTCTGCGCACCTGCCGGCCCGGGGGGGGTGGGAGGGGGCGCGGGGAGAGCGGGGGTCCCTCGGCGGGGGAGGAGGGGCCGCTGGCGCTCGGCGTGGGGGCTGGGGGCGCGCCTGTCTCATTCCCTGCACGGCTCTGCGGTTACTGTTTAGAACAGTTTCTTCTTTAGTCGATTTTGGAAATTTTTATCTACAGGAAACAGCATTTCAGCTAAGCTTTAAAATTTAACGACACAAAACATTCATATTTTTCTCTTAGAATTTTAAGTTCTGTTTTTGTGGTTATGGACCCATTTTCTTTGCAGATATAGTTTATGTCTTTTCTCTTCAAAATTTGTCTACTGGACTTGAAAACTTAACTCATTTGTTTTCAGCCTTTATTGGGTTTTAATAAATTTATGTCTATTTCTACATACCCCTTAAAAATCTGCCCGTTAGTGTTAATATTTCTTTTCTTCTTTTCTAAATATTTCATAACTTCAGTTGTGACTTCCCTGTTTATCTGTGATTTAGGAGAGAAGATCCCAAGCATGGAGTTTTCTTTTTGCTACTTAAAAAAATCATTGATTCCGGTTTAATTGCTTGGAGGTCGGAGAACCTGACTGGCTACGATGTAAGCCTCCCGCCTTTAGGTGAAACTTCCTTTAGGGTCTGGTCATTACGGGTTTGCATGTTTCAAGTGAACTTGAAAAGAATCTTAATTTTGTGGCAAGGTTCTCTATACACCTATTATTAGGTCAGGCTTGTTAATTCAGATTTTCACGCCCACCCCCCTCCAGAGGTGAGTTAAAATCTTTCCATGAACGCGGCATCATCAGTTTCTTCATGTAGTTCTGTCCAGCTTTGCTTTATGTATAATGAGGTTCTTGCTTGAATGCGAATCCGTATGTGATCTCTTAGTGAATACCTTTTCTCTTCTCCTGTTTTTCAGGTAGATGGGTGCAAGTATTTTGTATTTTTTTCCTCTGTATTCTCATTTGGAGCTGATGGTCTCTATTTTTATTGTAAATTACACTTTTAATACACATTCTTAGCTCTACATTTTCTTAAAGACTGAAGGAATTCATCTTTGTCCCCTCCTGCTACATGACATGGACCCTTGTGTGCTTTACCAACCTTTGCACACCCATCACCCCATCTTTCTGTTATGCAGCTTTAGTTTTACCATGCAAAAAACACAGGATCATTTTTTGGTGATTTGTTAATCACACCTGTTTGGTGTCTTACTACTGTGGCCACAGTGATTTCCTCTGCACTGCATTCCCCGAGTTCACATTTCTCCCCGTTGCAGGGTGTCTGCAGTGTACCTGTGGGAACCCTCAGGCACGGGGTGCGCCGACGAACACCCTCAGGCTCTCCGTACTGCATGCCAGGGGGTTTCATCATAATGGTTTTCCAGCTGTCTCTCCCCTGCCGTCTCATCTGGCCTTTAAAGTCCATCCCATTCATGGAGGAATTTTTTTCAATGACTGTATTCTTAATTTTCAACGGTTTTTTCCTTGTCCTACAAAGTTGGCCCTGGTAATATTTTCCATGGAGGGCAACTACCTGTAAGCTTATGTTATAAGATATAAGAATGTCATCTCTTACAATACAAATACACTTAAGATGTCAAAGGATAACAAGATGACCCTTCAATCCGCAGTAGCAGAGCTGAACATCGTGCTGGTCAGTAAGGAGAGCTGTGCTGGGCAGGGCGCCACTGAGCAGAGCAGACCGCCCACCTCATACAATGGCACGTTTTCATAGTGTAGGTAGGTTGACATCACCTAGAGAAGCACTTTATTGGACTGTCACACCTACCAGAAAATAGGTATTTGCCACTCTGGGGCCCAGTTTAGCCTGGTAGGGGCATGGGGCAGCCCAGCCCTTCCACCCTTCTGAAACCACAGTGGTCAAAGCTGAAGAAGGGTCGGGGTGTCCCGCCTGGGAGCAGTTCCTGCTTCAGGTGCGCTCGGTGGCAAGCCAGGCCGACGGTCAGGACTAGGGGAAGGAACGGTGGAGAAAGAAAGGCACGTGCCGCCGGCAACCAGCCCTCCCCTCCCGCCAGCCACGTCTCCTGCAGGCGCCGGGCTTTCAGGGAGGACGATGGGCACCACTCCCCAACCCACTGGCACCTCCGGGCCCTCCGCGCTGCCCATCGTCGTGTTTAAGGCAGCCGAGGCCCGCCCAGCTCCCCCGTGGGCTTCTCCCACTGGCACTCTCTAGCCTAGCACCATGCCCGCCCCCCTCCCTGGGATGCTTTGCCCAAAACCACCAAGTGTGGGGCGAGCTCACGTGACCTTTGTCAGCTCACAGCTCTCTGTATCTCCATTTCCCAGTCTGTAGAGTGGAGCTGATGACCCCCATCTGGCCTCGGCGGTGCTTCGTGTCCCAGGGCAGCTCCCAGGGCCACGGGAGGTGGGTGGTCTCCAGCTCAGCCCTTCTGGCCACCCAGACCCGTCTGGGCGTTGTCTCACTAAGGGGTGCCCCTCCCCTACCAGCACGTGGTGTTCTCCAAAGGCCAGGCCCTTCACCTCCTGGTGTCCACATTCCTGAGTCCCTGGAGTTAAGGGGAAGTGGGAGTACTACCTGGCCACGCAGGCACTGGCTGAGAACGAGGTGAGCCCCCGCCCCAGCCCCCTGGGAGCCAGGGCAGTGAGGTCCCCCGCTCATGAGGTCCGCCCTCTCCCGGAGACAGGCTCTCTGTGGAACAGACAGCAGGAAGGACAGCTGCCCCAGGCTCAGAGATGAGTCTGGGTCCACAGCCTCGGCTGCCGGGAGCTCCTCTCCTGAGATCTTGGGGGTCACCAAGAGTCAGCTGCTGAGGGACCTGCAGCCAGGCGCACAGGGAGGCCTCGGCAGGAGCTCACAGCCTCAGAAGCCACTGCTCACCTCCTGCCCCTCCCGGCCGCAGGGCTGCGGCATCCTTTACTGCCGGGGGCCTCTGCCATACGCCCTGCCTCCCGGGGTCCTGGGACGGCACCCCCAGAGTCCCGGAGGCAGCTGACTGCAGCAGCACCAGGTGCGGGGTACCCTGCGGCCTGCAGAGGGCTCCCATCACCATCTCGGGGCTGGCTGGCCGCAGCTTCCCTCCCACTCCTCACTCCACCCTCAGAGCACAGTCCTCCTGGGACCCCCCACCCCCCAGCAGCCCCCTGAACCTCCCCAGCCGCGCTCGCTGGCCTAGGTATGGCCTGCACCCCGGTCTCTCCTGCTCATGCGGCCACTTGCCCCTCAGCCCTGACACACCACAGTTCATGTGTCAGTCAAGCTGCTGTGCTTTGGGACCCACCCCCAGCTCCAGGCTTTCCTGCCCCTGCCTCTTCCTACTGGCCACATGGTCCTGCCTACAACATGGCCCCCGTACCCCTGGGGTTCCAGGTCACAGCCAGGAGTCACCTCACCACCCCACCCTCCCCTTTATCTGCTAAGGCCCCTTGATTCCGTCTTCTCCTTTCTTGCACAGAGCCCCCCTTCTCCTCCTAGCCACTGGCAGCAGCCTTGGAGCACCCCTTAACCTTACTGCGGCAGACCAGCGGGAGGCCGCGTCCCCCAGCGCCTCCCCCGCCCAGCCACACGCCTGTGTGGCGTCCCCCTCAGCCTCCAGCCTGGGGCCAGTGCGGACCCAGAGCAGAGGCGCCTGGGAATGCCCAGGAGATGGGAGTTTCCCCTACACCAGGGAGACACTCAGGAGAGGATGTTCCTGAGACCCTTGGTGCAGCTCCTTCCAGAAGCTTTTGTCTTTCATTGTTTTCAAAACTGGGAGAAGAGTCCATGAGCTGATGGGCTTCACCAGGCTCTGCGTCTGCTTTCTGTGGACTCGCTGCCCACGGACGGGGGTGGGGTTTGGGGGACGCCAGGTTCCTCCTCCTCCTCTGCCGTCACCAGTCGCCCCGGACTGACACGGGGGACACGCCATGCCCATGGTGGCCTCCTCCAGGGGCCCTCTCGGCGGCAGACCGCACTGTCAGGACGTGGTTTCCAGAAAGCTGCACGTCCGGGACCCGCCCTCCTCAAGCAGCGGCCTGGCCTGGGTGGGGGGTGGGGGCAGCACCTTGCGGGCTGCGTGGCTGTCGTGGGGTGCACGCGCTCCTCCTCCTGTCCCTCGCTGACTGGCTTTCAGAAGGGGAGCCATCCGTGTCTGCGTGCCAGCTCTTGGGCAGCAGTGAGGCGCCCCGGGCGGAGGGCTCGGCCCCACCATGTGCTGTACCCTCATTGTAAAACTCATCATTTTCTTCCCACCAATGGCCTTTTTGTTGCTGTTGTCTTACACTTTATAATTTTAAGTAATGTGGCTCAAGAACACGGTCTTGTCCCACCTCGGGCTCTCATGAAGTGATCGGGGCAGTCCTGCTGACCCTTCCCACGTAAGTACCCAGAGCAGCCACCCCCACGGCCTTGACCGCGTCTGACCGTGCACTGTGCCAGGTGGGCGCGTCCGAGGCCCCTCCCGCCTCTGAATGATCCGTTCTGCCAGGTGGCTTCGTCTTCGGCCGTCGGGGTCGTCTCCACTAAGCTCTTCCACCCGTCTCCTGGGGGACTGGTGCTCCGTGTAGGGTGCGTCAGGAGCCAGACTGGCGGGTCCCTGGGTGAACCCATCGGCTTCAACAAGGAGGGGACAAGCCCACCCCCAGGCATCTGGATGCCAGCTCCTATCTGGAGGCATTTCCTGCCACATGGGTGCCGGGACGGGGACTCCCTCAGTGGAGGGCTCTCCCCGCACGGCTGCTCAGCACCTGCTGGATGCCTGAGTTCGGAAGCCAAGGGGAGGGGCAGGGTGAGCACGCGGGGCCCGGGACCACCGCTGGCCCCCAGCACGGCTCCCCTGGGGGCCCCTCACACCGGGCTGAGCCGCGTGCTCCGGGAGAGTCCCTGAAGAGCAGACCCATCCGCAGATTCTGCCCGAAAGTGAGCTGGAAACCCACTTTCACGTGCAGCGTGATAAACGAGTCCCAGCACATCACATCTGTTTTGGGCTTTATTTCAGAATTTATAAAATTCCAGTGTCATCCATATTCATAATCCTTTAACATGTTTGCATATAATCTCCAAATACCAAAGTTAAGGCCAAGGGATGGATTGTAGTTATGGAAACATAGGATGTGGAAGACATTTAACAAGTAGGAAACAGGCACACGTCCCAGACCCACAGGGCGGTCCCGGCAGCATCTGCCACCACCACACAGGAGGCCTGGGGGCAGTCACCTCAGACCCGTAACCACCAAAAACAGGGTGAGACCCTACATGCACTGTTTTAGGAAAGGGGGTTTTTAAATGGACATTTAGCAATAAATGCAGATGTAGATGTGCATGTGCAAAAATCTGTTGTGAGAATTAAAAATTTACCTCTGGGGGAGGGTGGAGGCTAGATGCCGGGGAAGGACGTCGTGAAGCAGCTGCAGGTGTGACGGGCGGGAAGCAAGAGTGCCGAGAGGAGAGGCTCCCCGAGAGAGAGGGCCTTCCTTCCCTTTTCTCCCCGGCTTGGGTCCCTGGACACACAGCCAAGGCACCCGTCCTCGCCCGTGCCTGTGGGCGGCACATGAGGCTGCCTGCGCCGTGGCTGGTCTATGTGGGCATTTCAGCCTCGAGTCAGCTGAGCTCCAGTTCCTCTGCTGGTCTTCCGGGAAGGCCCCCCAGGACCTCTCGGGGGCAGGGCCCGGGAGGCAGCATGGCACAGAGGCACCTCCCTCTCTGCGGCCAGGCCGCCTTTCCTCCCCAGAGCTGACCCTCAACGTGACCAGGGCAGGGCACCATTACACCAAGGCCTGCCACGCACCTGAGGAGGTACAACCCTGCCTCTGTCCACCCTGAGCCCGTGAAGCCCGCTGCTCCAGGCAGCCCCGGGGCTGGCACACAGCCACCCAGCGTGCACCAAGCCCTGCACGGGACGGCCCCAAGGCCGCGGCAAATGCCCCACCACCAGGAAAGGCTGGGCCAGGAGGCGTGGGGGCTGGGCTGGCACCACCCTGAATGTGACGCCGCTGCCACCCAGTTCTGAGGCGGGAAGAAGGCCACTGAGCTCAGTGTCTGAAAGCACAGGGCCCTCAGGGAGGGAGGGGGCAGGGGCCTCCACCTCCCCTCTGCCGCCCCTCCCCACCCCCGCCTCTTGGCCGGGTGACAGCCACTGCCGACCCAGAGTGCAGATGTGCAAGCCTCGCCCCCAGGTTCTGCTCACCAGACGGGACCTCCAGCGCCGGGTGGGACGGGGCGGATGCATGATGCTTTCAGACCCCAGTGCGGCCAAGCCAGGGCCAGCCGAGAATCTGGTCACCCGGCAGCCTCAGACGGCACCGGCCCCACTACAGCTCTCCTTTAGGTCCAGGCGCTCCCGGGGGGCACACCGGGTCTTCCTCCCCACCCTGGGGTCTGGCTAAGTGGGCTTTTTGGCAGCTGGAAGAAGGGGGGTTGCATTCTACAAGAGGGAGGGTCTGGACGGCAGGCAGAGGGGAAGGGGGGTGGGAAAGGAAGAGGGCGAACGTTTTGGCTTTTATAAAGTCAAGGAAATTTATTTCCTGAGGTCATGACACAGGAAGAGACTCGGGCACAGCCGTGGAGCTCTCAGAGTGGAGGCCCCAGCCTTACTGACATGCTGGGTGGGCCAGGAAGCTTATGGCGAATGTCCAGTTACCTCTGGTAGTGTTCACAACAGCGGAGAACCGTCCCGGGAACAGGAGCCAGGGGCAGGTCCTGAGCACGCTGGGGGCTGGCGCCCGGTTTCACTGCGAGACCTCAGGGGCAGGGTGTCAACGATTTATGGAGGGTCCAGCCGCCGGGTCGGATTGACAAACCATTGTGTGGTGACTTCAGGTCAGCTGGCTGGAGAGGTTTCTGCTTTTTTATCATTATCGTTTGGGACCCCAAGGGAGGGTCTTAGGGGCCACCTGAGCCCCAAAGCTGGGGAATTCCTCAGAGCTGCTCATGTCAGGAGCCTGTGGGGAGACAAGGCACAGCTTTAGCACTGGGGTTGCCACCCTGGCACACGGGCCCCCAGAGGGAGGCCGGGTCTGCCTGTCCCGGGCCCATGGAAGGCGGCAGCTGACCTTCTCGTTGCCAGCGGTCCAGGGAGCGTCCCGCACTACGAAGCCCTTTGACGGTGCCTTGGGCTCCTCGCGCACCGGCGGCTTCATGTGCACCTGCAGCGCCTCACTGTCCACCACATCAGCCAGCTGTGGGCACGGGGGAGTCAGCCGGCAGCAGGGGTGCGCGAGGGCACCCCCACCGTGCTGGCCTGCTGCTGGCCCCCCTCCAGCGGTGCACGACCTCCCTGGCCCCGGACTCACATATTCTTCCTCCAGGTTGAGGATATGGTCGATGGCCTCCTCCACATTCTCCGGGAGCCCTGTCACAGTGACACAATTGGGGTCTAGGGCCCCGCTCTGCGGGAAACGAATGTCCACCTGAAAGGAACATGAGCAGCAGCTGAGGCGGCTAAGTGCCTTCCGGGGTCTTTGGACCAGAGGGTTGCCACCATGTGTGGTGGGGATGGTGGCTTGTGGGGAGCTCCCCCCAGCGAGTTCAGTAAAGTGTGCAAGCCTGGGCTCACAGCTGCCCTCTGCCAACAGGACGGGAGGGCAGTGCACTGGGGAAGCACCTTGGTACCGCAGAGTGCACGTGCCTGACTGCTGCAGAACCCATTAGCCCCTTTGAGGCCACCTTCTGCAGGCCAGTGCAGGGCAACTGCACACAACTGTGGCCCCACATGACTCCACTGCCCTAGGGGCAGGCACCTGAGTTACAGATGACACCCCTTCCGGACCCCCAGCATGGTCAGCAGCTGAGGCAGGAAGGCAAGACCCCAGGGTGTCCCTGGTGCCCCTTCACCTAGCCCGTGAGGAGGGAGGTGCCCGGATGGACGGCAAGCACACACCCGATCTCACCCACCGTGCTTGCGGGCCTTTGCACACGCCCTTCACGACGGGGCTGGGGACTCACCTTGAACTCGTCCATGATTTTGCGGATAGCTTTGCCACGGGCACCAATGATACGGGCATGAACACGGTGGTCCAGTGGGACATCCTCAGAAACCATCTGCTCGAGCTCACCCACAATTTTCAGTATAGCATCCCGAGCAGCTTCGGTATTCTTTTCATACCCTGTGATGGTAATTTGGTCCTGGGGCTAAGGAGGGAGAATCCAGTCAGAAATGGGGGTGCCCTAGGGACTCCTGGCCCCCGGCACCGACCCAGCGGGACGAGGTTCCAAGGTGACAAGGAAGCACAGGTTCTGGGGAGGTCGGACAGAAGCCTGAGAGAGGGAGGCAGGCCTCACCTTACAAGGGAAGAGAAATCAAATGGCTGACTTAAAAGGACGATGGGCTAACAGGGTCCGGTTAGCTCTGGTCCCTCTCAGACCCACCAGAAGACAGCCACATGCAGGCAGAGAAAGGGTGCTTGCCCACAAACATAAGGACATGACAGCAGGCTGGGGTGCAGGCCAGGGGCTTCACGGGGCCAGGCTAGGCCCCTTCAGGCCTGTCACAGGGGGGAGCCGCCTATAGACAGACCGAGCTGCAGATGCACCAGATGCCAGGGTGGGCACCCAGCCAGGGCCTTCCTCTCAGAACCACACTAACGGTCCAGCGCAAAGAGCAAACCAGAGCCAACGGGACTTCAAGGCCCAGAGAAGGAAACCGGAGCACCAATTAGCACCTTGAGCCATACTCTCCAGGACAGGAGAAAATAACACACTCACAAAGACAGAGCACAAGGTAAAGGAGCAGAGCGGACCTGGACCGAGTCAGAAGAGGGGAAATTCAGAGGCCCCTCCACCCACAAGCCTGGAGAGGCCGGCGCCCTGGAGACTGTGGACCAGCAGCCATGCCTCCTGTCCCCTCTTGTCCTGGGTAGGGCGGAGCTGCACCCTGCTGGGCACACTCACTGCCAAGCACAGCCCCAGGCAGAGTGTCCTGCAGATGGCGCACGGTCCTCACAGGAACCGCACTGCGCGTGGAAACTGGCTGCAGCCCTCCCAGCTCGTGGGATGCTTGCTGACAGACATAGTGTGCTGAGCCTAGGTCACGACTTTACAACCGAGTTGTGTGGAAAAGTGCAGAGAAAATGTGTGAAGCGAGAAATCCGAGAGCTAAACTCTCAGGTAAGATAAGGAAAAATTAAAGTTGGAATGAATGGCAGTGCAAACATACTCTGTGGAAAGACAGGCTGAGTGCAGGGAAAGACGTGGCCCAGGGTGCCGGAGAGGAACAGCCCCAGAGGCAGACTGGAAGCAGACTCCCTTTCCTTGGGAACCCAGGTCAGAGGCAGATGGGTAACCTTTGACCTGCAGACCCAGGAGGGAAGGAAGGCGCAGCCAGCCAGAAGCCCCCGGGCACAGACCCAGGGAAGGCGGGGCCAGAGGCTCCAGGGGCCTATCAGCAGCTGCTGCCCTGCCAGGAGGTTCCAGCACAGGGCTTCTGGGCACTCTGCTGTGCACCATGGCGGGGACTGGGCGCAGACACGGGGCTCCCCCCGTGCAAAGCTGTGCCGGGAGGGGGCTGGGCCTGAGGAGCAGTAAAGGCTGTTGCAGGAGACAGGACAGGCGGGTTCCTAGGGAGCAGCGGAGGGCACACTGCAGCAGGGCCACACCCACAGGCCCGGAAACCCTCGCTGGGCTGGCACAGGCCAGGAGGGCCCCGAGTCCAGATCAGGGCCTCAGATACCTGCCAGCTGACCTCTGCCCTCCACAGCTCATCTGGGCACATCCTAGTTTGCCTGGTCACTGTTCCCAGGTCGGGACAAAAGCCAGCAAGAGTCCATCTACTCCCATGCTCAACCTGGCGTCCGACCTGAACAGCCATTCTTACCTGGCTCCCATCATCCTTATCAGGAAACTGGATGTTCACGTCATGCTCCAAGCGTATCTGGGTGATCACGGCCCCCTTCCTCCCAATAATCTTGGGATGGTATTTGGGATCTACAGTGACACTCAGCTTAAAACTCCGTAAGGCCTGCAGGCGAAACAAACAACTGACAATAAGCAAAGGGCAGAGAGCCGAGCCTTGGCCACCACGCCCACCTGCCCCGACTCCAGGCTGGGCCTCGAAGGCACTGCTGTTAATGCAGCAGCAGAAACAAAGCCCAGCTGGCCTGCCAGCCTCTGTGCCACCTTCCAGATTCAGCTCGTGTGACAGCCAGGACTCAACTGCTCCTTCCATCAGACCCAAACAGTCCCGGGGAGGCTGTGCAGAGGCCAGGATGGCACAGGTGGGCTCAGATTGGCACAGAAGCGAGCTCCTGGCTCTGCTTTCTAACTTGTAAACTACAGATCTAAGGAACAGGTGTGAAACATGTTCAGGGTCCTTTACATTATGGTTGGGGTCAGGCCAGAAAGAGAAGAGGGAACAACGGGGCAGGCAGTCCCGGCTGCCTGTGGCTGGAGGTTGGGCCCTGTGCCGGGGCAGAGACAGCGAGGAGCGCGCCCAGGCTGAGAGGGGTCCACAGGCTCTGCTCTGCCGCCAGACTCCCAAGTGTCACTGCTGCAGTGAAAAGCCCGTCCCCCCGCATCATCCATGATGGGGCTTTGGCTTTGTGGAGCCGCCTCAGCCTGCACCATGGCTCAGGTCCTTCCCACGTCAGCCCAGCAGGGAGAGTGGGTCCCCGCCCGGGAAACCGCAGACTGGGAACGTGAGTGGGGCCTGCTGACACCCACTCCAGACCACACAGCACAGGCTTGGGGGCCCCTCCCAGGCCACCCCAACTTCACCCCTTTCAGTAAGGCAGGAGGCACATGTTTTCAGATTTACTGTCAGGAGAAAACATGAAATCTAACTGGTTGCTGTTGTACTGGAAACCAGAAGGGGCTGCTCCCCCAACAGCAGGACCTCTGGCTGCTGACTGCACGAGGGGACGCCCGATTTAATGGCTGGCGGTGCGGCCGGGCGGGCACTCACGCGGTCCTCCTGCTCTGCCTGCAGCTCCCTCACACGCTCCAGGAGCCCGGCCTTGGCGCGGTCCAAGTGGGCGGTGAGGCCGGTGATGGCGATGGTGCCAGACTGCAGCTCAGGGGCTGGCACGTGGATATTCACCTACATAGACACAGAGAGGACTGCAGGCTGGGGGCGAGGAGGACGGGAAGCGTGACGCTGCTGCCCCGTAACAGACAGGCACCAGCACACAGGGCCAGGGGAAGCACGTCACCCAGACGGCTGCGAGTGTTGGGCCCCTGGCAGCGCCCGGAGAGGGCTTGCTCCCGACATGGGCTCCCGGGAAGAGCCACAAACCACACTACCTCAAACTCGTCCATCATCCTGCGGATCCCGCTTCCCTTCTGCCCGATGATGTACCGGTGAAGGTCAAAGGGCACCTCCACCTCGATGGTGACGGGGACCAGCGCCTGCAGAGAAGCCCCGGGAGAACCAGTGTGCTTCCCAGAACCTTCCACACTGTTCCACGTGGACTGGACAGCCACCTAGACTTCAACTCAACAGGAAACCCAAGGGCGAAGGGCACAGAGTCCAGTTCTTGGGTTAATGCCGGCAGAGCAAACTTTCAGACTCACCCCAAAGCCTGTGCTCCTAAGCCTGGCACCTTATAGAGCAAAACAAGCAGACAGAACACCTGGGAAAGCAGGGTGACCTGAGGCCTGCCCAGGAGAGGCAGGGCACAGAGGCTGGCCCTGACACCTGTGGGAGTCACAGAGGTGACGGCGAGGGGCACCAGCTTGCCTGCCACCTGCATTCCTGCTCCTGAATGACTCCTGACCACCACTGCCTTTTACCTCTGCTCGTCTTCCCCCACAGCACATATCTGCCTCGACGTGGGATGGATACGTTTTTGTTTCTTGGTGGTCTGTTTGCACAGTGGAGGTGTGGCACACAGGCAGCCCTCAGTATTCACTGCCCGACTGACTTGCCCTGAAGCCTAACAGGCTAGGCAATGCCACTTGCAGAGGGGGAAGCTGAGGCTGGGGGTCATGATTCCCCTGCTGCCAGTGGGACCCTTGGCTCCCCACTCGCCCACCATGGTCAGGCCTGTGGAGCTCAGGAGGCTGGCGCCGTGCAGGGGCCAGGCCCTGGGTGGCTCTGTGCCCCACTGGCCTGAGCTCATCTACCGCACGAACCTCCAAGGCCTCCTTGGCAGCCTCACACTTTTCCTTCCGGCCAGAGATGATGATGATGTCACAGCGCCGTGGGGAGCCGGGGTCAGCCTCCCTGGTGTCTCGTGCCTCCCCGGCATCATCGCCATTCTCCTGGACAGGTGGCTCCACGCTGTGAACTGGGGACAGAGAAGAGGGGCAGTTCAACCCTGAGCACCCAGGCCTTGGGTGCCCCCCAGTCTGCGGCAGGCATGCCAGCCTCTGTTCAGGACACGTACTTGCAGCTCGCCTTCCACGAGCTGGGTGGGGGAGGAGGAGGACAAGGCCTGGATGGGAGGAGGTGCGCAGAGCAGACCGTTTGGGGCCTCGCCTGGGCGGGCATGGAGCTAGCCACCTCAAAGGCTAAGGGAGGCAAACAGGCGGACACACGGGAGGAGTGCGGAGCAGGGCCCACTGTTTGCAGGCAGGGGATGGGCACATGGCGCCCTGATGTGGAGCCGGTGGGGGGCACGTGCTTGAGCAAGTTAGGAGGAAGGAGCGAGTTAGGCAGGAGGGAAGAGAGCTCCAAACGGAGGCACATGGTGACAGGACACACAAGCTGGCCAGTGGGGGTCCCACAGCCACGCTGGGGACCACGTGTGCACAACAGACAGGAGAACAGTATCCATGGAGTGACACAAGCCGGGAGTCCATGTGATGTAAACAAACATGAGAACAAGTGAACAGTCCTGTGCTGAGCTGGGAAGGGGAGGCCCTGCAGGCGCTTTCAAAACCGGCAACATGTGAACATCGAGCATGATTCCGCAGGACCGATAACATTAGATGAATGTGCCAGTTACGGCAAATGGTCAAGGGGAATGTCTGTCTTTCCTCCTAGGAAGCAGCCACTACAGATATGGGACAGGCCTGAAGATTACACTCAAATGATTCAGAAAAAACAAGAGCGTGTGGAAAAAGGGGTGGGTGGGATGGCAGGTGCACCAGTCTACACAATTTTCCTTTAAGGGTGAAATAACATCAAAATTAAGAAGTAAATATTCAAATGTAAAACAAATGTGATAATATGATTTCACTCATTTTCTACTCAAAACAGCAGCCTGTATTCTCAGGAAAACAGAGGAGCTTGTCACAGCCGTGACAAGAGGGTATGAGTGAGAGGACACGGGGGCTGCAGGGCTGCCAGCCAGTGAGGGGTCACAGCAGACAGACCACCAGCACAAACACACTTGGGGTGCACATACACAGGAGACGGGCGCACCAAGTCAGGTCTGAGACATAGCCAGATCCTGCTCAGGGACCCCTCAGCCCACTGGTCACCTCCCTGGCCATCCACCACCTCACCCGTCCCCAGGGACCCAAGCCCGGCACTCAGGGCTGAAGCACTGTCCCAGAAGGGCAGCCTGCACTGGGCCCAAGCGGGAAAGGACTTCCCAGGGCACCTGACAGCCGCTGCCACCACCTCTCCCCAGAACAGGATGGCTCACACGACTCCCACTCAGCACGGAGCTCACTGCAGGGACCCACCTGGGTTCTCCTCTCTGTCTGGGAATTTAATTTGAACATTATAGTCTCGAGTAATCTGCTGGATTCTGGAACCTTTGGGGCCCATGACAGATCGATGGAATTTCTGGGGTATAGCACACTCCATGGTCACCTGGGCTTCCTGGGGGACGCACAACAAGAAGAAAAAACAAAGGCAGAGGTGAACTGTTTGGGTAGATGCAGCTCAAACCACCTTCCTTTCGGTCCTCTACAGTCACTCGCAAGCACAGATGCCCGCATTTCCGGAGGTGAGTCTGGTGGCCAAGGCACACCAGGGGCAGGGCCGAGGGAAGGCCTCTCTCTGAAGTGTTTCCCAGAGACGCAAGTGACGATCGATGACACCCCCACACTGAACCACAGCAAAGCTCTGCCCGGAACAACGTCCCACTTCTCTCCAGCCAAAGGAGGGCCTCCCAACGGCACAGCTGGCGGCCCGTCAGGGCCTGTCCCAGGAAGTGGCCGCACCAGCCAGGTGCCAGGCACACACTGTGGCTGTGGCTACATGAGAGGCCCTGGGCTAGGTCTGGGAGGCCCTCGGGACTATGGGAGGGGAGTGCCAGGGACGAGGAGCGGGCTGGAGCCCTCCAGAGGCTGGGGTAGAAAACCCGACCCGGCTTCCCACGGCTTCCCATGGCTTTGATTTGATGGCTTCAATCTATGTTTTTTCTTTTGGGGACTGGAGGAGAAGGGCAGGAAGCTGGCTCCTTGCAGACTGTACTTTCAGACATTTTCAGACAGCTGCTGCTCGGAGGGAGCACATTCTCAGTGACTGCTGGTCAGATGGGACCAGAGAGCCCCCAGCCCACCCGGTCTGGCACGGCCTACAGCACACCCACCCGCGTTGCCCAGCAGCCATCGGGGCCGAGAGCCCCAGCGGGCCTCCCTGGTGCCTACCAGGTCCTCAATGATCTCCTGGATGCGCTTCTTGGCTGCTTCCACGCAGTCCTTGGCACCCTTGAGGGTGACTCTGTCACTCTGTGAGCCGGAGCGTGGGAAGCTCACCATCACCCCACCATACTCCTCCGCGATTTCCCGCAAGACCTGGCCTCTCCGGATGACAAAATGACGGTGGTGCCTGGGGTCCACGAGCATGCAGTCCTCAACCACGTTGTCCTGCAGCACGGAGGAGAGGAAAGGAAGTGGCCCCACCACGGGGCAGAGCAGGACACACTGAAGGCCTGGGCCCTGCCAGCCTTACCAAGTTCTGGATCAGCGCCTCCAGCTCCTTCTGTGCCTCCCTGACGGCGTCCTCCTTTCCTATGATTGTGATGAGGTCCTGGTCCTTGTCCTCGGCCGTGGGGAAGATGATGCGGGCTCCGGTGCTGTCGCGCACTTTGCGGATTTTCCCACCCCCCTTGCCGATGAGGAACTTGTGGTACTCTGGCTTGGCGCGGATGTCAACAGTGAAACTTCTGGTTTGCTGCAGAGGAGGAGCCCAGATGCACTTCCTGATGCCACCAGCCTGGCCCCCAAGCAGGTGAGGGCTGGAGGACAGTGGTGTGGTGCAGGTCTCCCACACTATTGCTCACGTCCCCCAGACAGGACTAACCAACCTCATCCAAACAAATGGGTGGGCACCCAGACAGTACCTGCACTGCCCACCTTGATGGTTAGGACACATGGCTATCAAGCCCCTGTCCTGCCACTTACCGGCAGTGACTGGACTTCTGCAGGCCACCCTCCACCTGCGAGGGACTGGTGGCCCGCACAGCATGAAGCCCGCACCACACCTGGCCACCCCCAGGCCGGGCCCCCCGCTCCTCCCAAAGCAGGCAGAGCACGCCCCTGTCCGGGCCTTCCCTGGCATGTGCTCCAGGTGAGCCCCCACACAGTTGGCAAGCTACAAGACCAGCCACCAAGGTCCTCATCTGACACCAAGAGCCAGGGCCCAACAGAGGCCCCGCCATGGACACCAGCCCCACTGGCAGATGCGCCCAGGGCGCACACAGGGCCACACCCTTCCACGCACCTTGGGCCCACGGTGCCTTTTCTCTTCCCTTTCTCTTGCCTTCGCCCCGGCCACAAGCATGAAGGTCCCAAGGACAAAGTCGGCCAGGCGGACAGCGCACGACAGAACAGTGCTGCCTTTCAGTCTCACTGCCAAGGGGGTTCCACCCTCAGATACCCCCCACCAAAGAGCGACTCGTGAGAAAGCACGTGTCAGGCAAGCCCAGCCAGCAACACAATAAAGGGTTAAGACACAAAAACCAAGTGAGTTTACCCCAGAAAGACAAGGTTAAACATCAAGTAAGGGTGGGGGAGGAATCTAATATATACACTAAAAAAAGGAAAACCCTGGGATGCCAGTAAATGCAGAAAAGCCTGACAAAACCCACCCACACCCCCACCCCAGCTCCCAGCAAACTCAGCGACGAGGTCCCCTGCCATGAAGGCGCATCTGCGAAGTCGCGCAGCCCACCTCACACTCAAGAGCCAAGCACAGAGCATGGCCCCAGGTGCGCTGACGGGCAAGGGCATCCACTCCCACCGTGGCTATTCACTCAAAACCACACCGAGGCCGAGGCACCACGGTGTGACACAGGCACACAGACCAGAAAGAAGCACAACCGTCTACTCCCAGATGGCAGGTCTGCCTATAGAACTCACAAGGATCCACGAGAAAAGCCGCTGGAACTATAAAGAGGTGAGGAAAACAAGGCCAATATACAAACCCAATATATTTCTGTAGCCACATTAACTGAAATCGAGACGAGTAAAAGCAGCACCTACTTACAACAGCACTAAGAACAAAATAAACGGAAAAAAACGTGAACACGCATTGCACGCTGGGAACTACAAACCACCAACACAGGTCACTTAAACTGAAGAGGTGATAGTTAGAAGATTCAAGACGCTGAGACGTCCATTCTCTCCAAAGCGACCTTCACGGTCAGCACAATCCCGTCCAAATCCAAGCAGGACTTCCGCCCTAGAAACCGGTAAGCTGGTCCCATAGTGCTTACGGGAAAGACAAAAGGTCCAGCCGAGCCAAAAGCAATTTAGGAACAGAGCTGACGGGCTCTCCGGAGGCCGGAACGGAGCAAAGTGCAGACACACAGAGGGGCTCTGACAAAGGGCCGAGACAGCCGACGGGAACAGTGGGTGGTCCCAGCCAGGACGTATTTACTGCAGAGGTGGTCACATGGATGTGCGCTTGTCATGACTCATAACTACACATCAGGAAGGGAGAACTTCATTATACATAAACTATTCTTAAACAAAAGGGTGGGGGGAGCCCCAACAGCAGGTTTTCTACATTGTGTATGTGGCATTTGACCTAGAAAGGCCCTCACAGAGGGACATTAAGACGTGCTTTCCTGATTTGCCCCAGAGAAGGGGTGTTTGGAGTTCTCCAACATGAGGAGAGGATGGCCTGGCACGGACTCAGGGACCCACGCCCGCTGCCCAGGCTGGTGCCCACCTTCTCCTCCGCCAGGTGCAGAAGCTGTTTCTTGGCCTTCTCCACGTCTGAGGAAGGACCCCTGATGATGACGGTGTCGCTCCCCGAGCCTTCCACGGGGAAGTGGATGTGGACCCCGCCACACTCCTCCATGACCGAGCGGATCAGGCGGCCCTTGGTGCCGATGAGGGAGTTGTGCAGGCGGGCGGGGATGCAGACCTCCACCTCAGCTATGTTGGCCTGCAATCACAGCACGAGAGCCATGTCCACATGTGGCGAGGGCTGGAGACAAAGTGTGTGTCACAGTCTGCAAGGTGCCAGCACAGCAGGACCACACGCCGGTGCTGCACAGGCATGCACGCGGGGGTCAGCGCATAGGAGGGCCGTGTGTCACACCGAAACAGACTTTGCTTTCCCAGACCCTCCCTGGTGCTGCAGCAGAGACAGGTCCAAGATGCCTATGTGCCCACCTTTCCTACTAAACCCTTAGGCAAGGATTCTGCCCCCAGTCAAGGCATACTGAATGAAGCGATGGAGCCCAAGACACTGCAGACAGGAAGTGAACAAGAAAGGCCTACGACTGCCCCCTGGTCAAGCCCCTGAGTTGAGAACACAGAGCCGACAGTCTGGGAAGACGAAGGTGCCGAGGGTGGGTGGGTCAAAGCCCAGGAAGAAAGTGCGGCCTGCACAGAGACGCCCAAGAACGGGAGGCGGCACACCGCTGTCATGTGTGGAGACTGCCGAAGGCCAGCGAAGGGCCAAAGAGAGGCTGCAGTGCTCAGCCAGCCCTGCACACAGGCAGACTCCAACCTAGCACCCAGCAGCAGGAAACAGCCGGCCCAGATGAGGAGTGCTGTGACCCTACCTGACAGTCCTCACAGCCAGTCTGAGAGGAGCCTGCTGCTTTGAAGTGACCTAACAAAGCTCAGATTTTACAGGAACGCAGAAATATGCAGCACCCACCAGTCATCCTCATTAATGTCTGGCACGCAAAAAAAGCACCAGGCACACAAAGGAACAGGACAAAACTACTCGCAAGGAGGTAACAACAATGGAGAAGAGCCCAGAAAGGACCCCGATATTATAGCCAGTGGCCAACAGCACCGAGACAGGTACGGCCACTGCACTGCATATGGTCAAACGCTGGACGCGCCAACATAGAGCACGATTCAAACCCAACTCCTAGAGGTGAAAAGACTGCCTGAAATAGACAATGTGCTGGAAGGGATTACAGGCAGATTAGACACTGCAGAAAATTAATGAAGTTAAAACTAATGGAAAAAAATAATACTCTCCCCACCCTAGTAAGCATCTGGCCCAAACCCCAGAGCATCAGTGAGGGGTAAGATGCTTCCAGATGCCCGACACCAGGCAACTGGAGTCCCTGAGAGGGGGGCCAGGAAAACATACCAAGAAACAATGACCCAGATTTTCCCAAACCTGATGACAACTCTCAACCCAATATCCAAGTAGCTCCATCAACTCCAAACAAAGGAACACAAAGAAAACCACACCAAGATCCGTCATAACTTGCTCAAAGCTGGTGACACGACTGTAAAATCAGCCAGAGTAGAAGGCTAGTCTGTCTGTGCAGTGGAGCAAAGCAAAGACGGCTTCAGATCTCATCAGGAACCGTAAGCGATGACGGTGAGGCCGAGCCCCAAATGAAACTTAAGGCAAGTGCCAGCCACCTGAAGGCAGGGCCACGGGAGCTAGTGCCATAGCCGGTGGGGATGAACAGGGTGCGGCCACTTGGACAGTCTGGTGGTTTCTTATAAACCTAAACATATCTTCCTGCATGATCCGTGGCATCACTCATGGCTAAGCAGCAGAGGCCGACCTGAAAAGGCCACATGCTCCACAGTTCCGACTCCACGTCACTCTGAAAGGGGCAAACCACAAGGGCACAGGGAAAAGGTCCATGGCTGGCGTGGGTGTGGGTGTGACATACAGGCAGGGCACAGAGGGTACATTCACAGGGGCAGACAGGCAAGGATTTCCTAGTATTTAGATCACCTTAAAAATACAGTCAACACTACTGTAAGAACTTCGTATACTGGCCGATGGCAAACATGCTTAGGGCGAGCATTCGGCGATGCCCGCTACTGTCACGTCCATTGAAGAGGCGGACTGTCAGACTGAATGAAGAATCAAGCTGCCTAAATGAAGCCCACTTTAATATGAAAAACAGATTCGAGAGCCAGGAATACAATCAGGGGTAAGAGAAGTCACTGCATAATGACGTAAATTATATACTTGGGATGAGAAAGATGACGCCACTACAGTGAAAGGGTGACTGGGATGTGATGAAAATCCTGTTAATAAACTTTGACAATGTAGATGAAACAGAAAAGCCCTTGAAACACAAACTTCAAAGCTCAGGCAAGGAGGCAGACCCTGTACCCATGCCCCGAAGCACTGTGCGGCCACAGAGCAGCGCAGGGGTTTGCGGGACACCATGGCTGGCGGCTGCCCCTCAGGACCAGCCGGGGAGGCCGTCGTCGTCCAGAGAGCTGGCAGGACATCCTGACTCTGCTCCTGGGGCGGGACACGGAATCGGGGCACGTGGGGGCCTGGGCAGCGAGTGGGACAAGGCAGCACAGAAGGGGGCAGAGGCCATCTCGGGGGCAATGGGTATGTTCCTCCCCTTGGCTGTGGATATGACTCTGTGGGAGTACACATCAAAACCTAGCAAATTACCCTTTAAACACTTAATAGTTTCTTCCATGTAAATTTCTCAAAAATTGACAAGGAAACATCTAGCACCTTCATGACATGATGACTTCCATGTACCCACCCAAGCACCACGAGAGCTGAGTGGCGGGAAGCCTGCAGCAGGCCCAAACCCCAGACCGAGGCCTTCTCCCTGGTGAGTGAGGGCCACCTGCCCGCGGGCCTAAACCCCAGGCCCACGCCAAGGGAGCTGCTGAGGCTCCCACACCCGAGAGCCCGGTCAGCGCCTCTCCATTCAGCACCCCATTACCAGGTCTTTCTGGATGGACAGAATGCGGCTCCGGGCAGCCTCACAGTTGGCCCGCTTGCCGGTGATGACAATGGTCTCTGAATTGCTGTTCTCTGCTGGAAGGTCGATCTTGGTGTTGCTCTCTTCCCGAATCTACAAGAGAGCAGATCAGGAGAATCTGGCTTCTCAGCTGAGACAGAGCCCAGGGCTACGTGAGGCTCCCTCCCTCAGAGGTAAAGCCAGAATGGTGCAGGGCTACAGGGCAAGGCCAGAAGAGCCCACATTCAGGGGACAGACTGGCCAGTCACCTTTTTAATATTTGCACCTCCTTTCCCAATGATGTTCTTGTGGAACTGTTTGAAGATCGGGACAGAAATCGAGTAGCTGTTTTCCACCTTAAAATGAGAGAGATGGCACAATTAACTGTCACACTAAAGTCAAGTACCCCTTCTGTCCCCGAAGGCCATTTGAGGCGACAGACTCTGTCCCACCATCTGGTCTTCCAGGGTCTATCATGAGGACAGGTGAGATGACTCAGCCAAGCTACCCTGGCATGTCCTTGTCAGCAAACACAAAGCCCTTCATGAACAGCAGCGACAGAACCTGCCATGTGTCAAACGCACGTGCTACGATCCAGAGGCACTCTGGAGCGGCCAGGTGCCCTCCTCTAACACTCGGGGTAAGAGGGACTCCATGCCACACCCAGGACCAGAGCTGGCTGAGAGCAGGGAGAGGCCAGGACACACAAAGGGGCACACAGGCCCCACAGCCCCAGGTAGCCGAGGAGCTCAGCGCAGGGGCCACCCCACTGGCTTGCTGCAGTGATACTGAGCTGAGCCCACCCCCGAAACTGCGGGAAGCACAGGCTTCCTGCAGCCTTCCCACTGATCACACCCACACTGGCAAACTCGTCCTTCACTCCAGGTCTTGAGGAAGCTAACAGGCCAACAAGTAACTCCTCAGCTCCTGTGTAACTGGCTCTCCTCACTGCATGGGACAGTTCCTCACCCAGGTATCTGAAGACCCCCCCTAATAAACAAGCTGGCCCAGCACAGGAAATGGGGCCTGTCCCACTCTGACCCCACAACACACTGATGTCTGCAGCCATTTCCATCAGACCAAACACCAGGTGCTCAGAGACGACATCGCTGCTTGCTCTCAGGCCCCGAGGAGGCAGAGGCACCCAGTGTCCTGAAGCCGGGGCCCCAGCCCCCGGCCATCATGGTGCCAAAGCAGTGCCACAGCACAAAGGATGAACATGTCCCCTACCAGATCTGCCACCATCTTCTGCATGTATTTTGTGCATTTTTCCACCTCATTCTTCGGCCCTCTGAGTTGGACAATATCACTTTTTTGTGCTGGGTCTGGAAAGTTGATGATAACCTAGGAAGAAACCATCAGGAGTCTGAAATCCATTAGTGTTAAGACTGGATTCCAAAATCCTGAGACACTGATCCCCCAGTGCCAATCAGATCACCCCTAGTGCTAAAAAGAACACCCTTGGGAAATTACCTCTGGGAATTTGTCGCGGATTTCACGGATCCGTTCACCCTTCTGCCCAATGATTGTGCGATGAAATCTTTGCTCAATGATTAGATCCTTGGTACGCTCATTTTCCTAAAGACACAGTTGAAGCAGAGGATGTCATCGGTGTTAAACCAGTGAGCAACTCCCCCTCACACGAGGCGTCTGAGAGCCCTGGGGACCAGGGTACAGCCCAGCACAGGCTGAGCAGTCGCGAGGTGGCACCCAGGTACAGCCCTGAAGCACCCCCTTACAGGAGGAGCACCAATTACGGGGTGCCTGCTCCCTCCAGCAGCCACCACGCTGCCCGCATGTTGATCTTCTACACGAAGCACAGTGAGAAGTGCTGGACCTCAGCCCAGTGCGCCTGTGGCACCGCAGGTTCCGGGGCCTTCCTCAGCACTCCGCCTGAACGAGCACTGAGGGCCACAGGCCTGAGCACCTGCACAGCAGGGGGAACCCCTCCCCCTCCGGGAGGTGGGCAGCACTTCCCCGTGCAGGATAATGAACAGCCCTGACAGGCACTGCACCACCATGGTGTCCACCCTCTTCCAAGGCCCCAGTGACACAGCAGCAGCAACACAGGACACAGAGCTGCAGCACAAGGCAGAACACCTCGGCCAAGCAGCATTCTGAAGGATTCTGAAAGACGGATGACTGGCATGAGGTGGGCAGGACAAGGGTTCAGCAGGGTGGTGTAGGCACCAGATACTCCAGAGACAGGGACCCTGGCCAGCAAGGAGCTCAGGGATGTCACAGGGCAGTGGAAAGTGGAATCTACGCCCTAGATTATAGCTGAGAAAGGTGACAACTGGGAAAACTGGGTGGGAGACTCCCCAGGCATGCACAGGTGCTGGGCGGCGGGGCCTAGGTGCACAGCAGCAAGCCCTGGGCTGCTCCTCACGGGCCTTTCTGCCCTTCTGCACAGGCCCACGCTTAGCCACAGCACTCAGGTGGTATTCTCACCCGTTCTTACAGGTACCCAGGAGACTGGCACATGCAGCCAAGGTTGACAATCATGTGACATGGTTATCTGCACTTGACTCAGGGTCAGGAAAACGTGCGTGTCCTTGCAGTTGAGCCCAGGGAGAGCAGCACGTTCCCCTGGGAGGAGGGGTGAGGCCCCACCTTGGCTGGCAGAGTAAAACACAGTGAGTGTTCTGACCCTGACTGCGCCTGAGAATCACCCGGGTACCTGTAAGAACCCAGAGGAGTCCATCCCAATCCCTGTGCTCGACAACTGGGCTTCACAGATCCTTGGGTTTGGCCCAGGCCAGGAACCCTGCCGCAGAGCCCCAGCATCTCCCAGCACAGCAGGCGCGGCCCAGCGACCTGAGGAGGACCCAGGAAGCATGGCCGCTGTGACAGACTCCGCTGGATCCAACAGGAGGGCAGGCGACTCGGTCCTTCACGACTGCCTGCAGACCGCGCTGCCCCACAGGGGCGGCTGACAGGTGAGCACTCGCGGCCTCCGGAGGCACCGGCTGAAGGACTTACCATGCGAGAGGCCAGCTCCAGCAGCTCCCGCTTGGCCTGCTGCACGCCCTGCGGGTCCCCCTCGATGCGGACCAGGCTGCTCTTCTCGCTGTCAGGAGGGATGCGCACGGACACCTTGTACTGGTCTTTGATTCTGTTTACTGAAGGGTACAGAGAAATCCCTTTTGGGCTCAGCATCTGTGACACCCCACTGATGACCAGCCACATGATGGCATGGGGCTAAGACCCCAAACAACCTCATCAGCCTCCCCACAGACAGAGATGATGGTCAGACCTCCAGAGCACAACTGCCCATTTTCTCAAGTGAGCCAGGTGTGCCCTGTACCAGCTGACCACGTGCTGGCACTGCCCCTCAGGCTTCAACAGCTGGGCTGCTCGGAGATGGGGATGTAGCTGATGTGGGGCGTGACTGGGGCTTTAGAATAGCCGAAAGAGCTCAGGTGTCTGTGATGGAAAGACACATTTGGAAACTGCTCTCAAGTAAAAAAGAACTGCTTGCTCTCCAAAAATAACCATTAAAAATCAGTAGCCCTCCCATGCGACAAGTCCCCCGTGAGCACTTTCGAGCCCCAAGGAGGCCGTGCCGCTGCCGAGAGGCTCCACTGTCAGTTCAGACCAAACTGAGCTCTTCGCTGACTTTGCAGAACAAGTGTAGGTTGAAAACCTCTTCCTGTCACTGTCTGGACAGAGCCCAGTGCCCATGTCAGAGAGCCAGGTCCCCACAGCTGGAGAAGTGTCATCACTAGGAAACCAGGTGGGCATTTTGCCCAGTGTGCAGTACGGGGAGCCACGCTCCTTAGAGGGTCACCAGACGCTCAGGAGCCGATGAACTGCTCCAAGGTGGAACCGCACAGGACAAAAGCCACAGGCACAGAAACCAGACGGCAGATCTCAGATCATGAAAGAGGAGGTGGGTGGGCAATGGAACCAGAACACAGAGCAGACACAGTCCCTGGACCACACCGAGCGGCCCTGCGCGTCCTCATGTCTAAGAAAACACCACGACGAACCCAAACAAAAACCAGCGAGAAAGATGGACAAAAGTCGGCTTCTGGTGCACAGTCCAGGCAGCACTGTGAGTACTGTGGGGGCCGTCCACAGGTGCGGACTCCCCCTGACACTTCAAGTGGCCCCAGACACAACCCTGGCAGCCCACAAGGCAGAGGTGCCCAGCTTGACCTCGGACAGGAAATGGACCGCAGAGGGCAAGAACTGAAGGGGTGTGCTCACAGAGGCACCATGTCCACACCAGCGGGACCCTGCAACTCAGGGGAGACCCCAGAACAGGGTCCTCTTGCTTCCCAACAAAGGAAACACATGAGCCAGAGCTGTGTTCAGAACTAAGCACCATGATGGACAACAGCCTTCCAGTCAAACTGACAAAGGAGCGGCTCTTACAGCCCCCTGGGATTCCAGCACAGTGCCCACGTAACATGTACTATGGCGCCCCACAGCCGTGCTGCCAGTCTGACCTTGACAAGTCCAACGCTGGACCCAGGCTGACAGCTTTCTACTTGCCCAACAGACAGCCTCTCCCTGCCCCCTGTGTTGTCTGACTTGGCCATTCTCAATCTCTTATTCCCCAGGCCCCAGGTTCGGGTGTGCTCGGCAGGGAGGCCTGGCTGCAGGGGGAAGGAGGGAATCCTAGGGCCCCTACGGCTACGCAGGGGACCCAATCAGGTTCCCTGCGTCCACCTCCAGACCGACCACGGCCCGAGGAGGAGACAAGGATGCTCAGAAGCCTCAATGCCTTCACACCGCACACCGCGAGCACCACTCACTGTTGGCTCCGCTCTTCCCGATGAGGTGCCTGTGGAACTTGTGGTCGATGTTGATCTCCACATAGTCCATCCGGTTAATCTACGGGAGGAGCAGAGCGGCCCACGGACAGGCGTCAAGGCCATGAGACGCGCTGGGGGCTGGGGCACCGGCCAGAGCTGGAGTCCAGAGGCCGGCGGCTGCTGGCTTCTCGCTCTCCGGCTGCTAGAACTGTTGTGAAGTTGTCCTTCTGGCACCTTGGAAGGTCCCTCTTCAAAATAAAGGTCTCCTCTCTCCACACCTCTCCCGCCCCTGGCCAGCCTATCTCTGAGTCTGTCAGCAGGCAGCCCTCCACCCCTGCGCCCGCCCACAGGGGGTCTGCGGGAAGCACTGGGATCAGAGCCCCTCACTCCAGCGGCACCTGTGGTCCTCGGAGGGGCGCCTACCAAGTCCTTGACCATGGCTTCGATCTGTTCCTGGGCCACGCTGACATCCTCCGTGGGGCCCTCCAGGGTGATCCTGTCCTCGCCCTCTGTGAACTCGATGTGAACCTGCCGTGCCGGAGTGAGGACAGAGGCGGTCAAGATGGAAGCACAGTGGCAGTGCCCTCCGAGCCCAGGGCGCTGGCTGATCCAAAACTGCACAGACCCCACGAGGAGCTGCAGGGGTCGGGGTGCCCACAGCTCGGACACTAAGCACTGTGGTCTAATCACCTCCTTCACCAAAAATGGGGACTGCAAGATGCTTCACCATGCCTGCCTCCAAAACCACTCATGCAAAGCGACGCCAGTGCCCAGTGCTCACAGCTCCAGGGCTGCCCCCGCTCAGTGTGCTGCCTCCTCTGGTCTCATACAGAACGAGACGGTAACAGGGATGAGATTGTAATCCATGAAGACCTGCCCCCTGGTAAGGAGGTGGTGACGTGACAAGGACAGGAAAGGGGACTGGCCCTGTGGAGCAGTGGCAGCTGCTTGGTGGGCCAAGATGCAGCTCACAGGAAAGCCACCTGGCGGCAGCCTGCCCAGCACAGGGGTGTGGGGGAGGACGTGCTCAAGTGCACCATCCTGTCTCCTCTGGAAAACTGGGAAGACCTCAAGGACAACACAGGATGAAGGCCCACTGACCCCACACCCTGCAGCACTGCACACAGGCCTGCTCGTCAGAGCTTACAAACCACGTTCTACAAAATACCGTCAAACCTAGAAATATACATTCTCTCTGGTTACAAAGACCAAAAGATGACACAGACGTTTTAAAAATCTTATTCTGCTCTTCCTTAGCTAATCACGGAAGCTGAATGTCACACAAAGCTGGCTTCTGAAAAATGTGCCAGTTTCCAAAGTGCCCACAGGACAAACAGCACAGCACAAGGCCAACTGCCCGGCAGGCCGATGGTGCGCGCGTACCTTTGGCATCTGCTGGGTGATTCTGGCCAGGTTCTGCCCTTTCTTGCCGATGATGAAACGGTGAAGCCAGGAAGGAGCAGAGACAGAGGAGACCGCGAAGCTGTTGGCCTGGGAACACAAGGGAGGCCTGTGGGTTTGCTGCGCATAGTCACACAGCGGCCAAAGCCAGGCCACCCCGGGGTCTGGGGGCGGGCGAGCACCCCACCATGTGCTGCGGGGCTGTACCCCCGCCCCAGGACCGCTGCCAGGAGCCCGTGCCAGGGGAGGGGCACTGACCTTGGCGTAGACCTCTGTCAGGGCCTGCCCTAGCTTTTCGGGCTCCCCTCGGAGAATCACCGTCTCGGAGATGCTGTCTGAGGGCGGCATCTCCACGGAGACCCCGGTTCTTTCCAGGATCTCCTGCAGGGAGTTGCCTTTGGGCCCGATGACATATTTGTGCTGGGATTTCTTCACCTCCACCGCGATGGTTGTGGTCTTCTTTTTCTAAGCGAGAGCACGGTGAGTGTCAGAGGGGCGGGCGGGGACAGACTGCTGCTGCCAGAAGGGCGGGGGCAGGGCGCAGGGCCCCGAACCGCAGCGGCTGAGGCTTATGACACTCCTCAGACAGGCCTCTGATCAAGGATTGGTTTTCTCCTCAAGACTACCTGAGAATTTAAGTCAAGGCAAGACTGGTCACTGTGACTTGGAAGAATGGAAAATCAAGTCCCATTCCCAAATAAAGGGACATGCTGCAGACCTCAAGCCCACCAATGTCATGGGCCAACGGCTCACTCTAAGACCAGCTCTGAGTGGCAGCCAGCCCCCAGGCAGCCCAGTCCAGGGCAGGGCAAGCGCGGGCAGGGACCAGGTGGCAGCCGGCCTAGCAGAGCTCTGACCCTGTTCCAGAGTCGGGGCCGGGCTCACATCCTGACTGGGGAGGCAAGCTCTCCAGGGATAAAAGGGAAGGAAGGGGCAGGGGGGGCCTACACCCCGGCTCCAGACCACAAGCCCCGGCCTCTGTTTCTGCCTATGGGCCCCTCCTCAACCTCACCTTCTCCTCATAGATCTTCTTGATGCGAGCCACAGCCTGAGCCAGCTGCTCCTTCTCTCCAGTGAAGACGATTTCTGTCCGGTTGACGCTGGGCGGTGGGATGTTGATGCGCGTCCCTGTTTCCTGCATGATCTCACCGACAAGTCGATTGTAAGGCCCCGCGATGAAGGGGTGGAATGCCTTCTCCACCTCGAGCCTCTCCACGGCACGTTTGTCCTGGGAAGGGAAGGACGGAGCATGAGAACACAGCCCTGGACACCAATGGAGGACACACAGGACTTCTAGTGGCCAGAGCCCAGGCTGCTGCACGCCCACCATGCCATGGCTGGCCTCACCTGCTCTGCAGAGATGAGCAGGACCTCGTGGCGAGCTTTCTCGATGCCCTCTTTGGTGCCAGTGATCCGGATCTGATTGCTGGCATCATCTGGGCGCGGGATCTGGATTTTGGTTGCAGTTTTTAGCTCCAAGTCTTGCAGTTTCTCTCCATTTTTGCCAATAACAAAGCGATGGTGTTCTTTGGGAATGGCAACAGTTGCTGAGGCCTACGACAGGATGAGAACCAAGACTAAGAAAAAAATTTTTTTATAGGTTCCAAAAAAGCAAATTTCTCTGATATTATGCCTGGCTGGAATACCATTCTTACCTAGCCAAATCCCCCCACGCCTTTAGAATAGTCTCAGGTTAAACAGCACCTTTTAGGGGAAGCCTGCCCTGACCCCCAGGCTACAGTAAGTCCACGTGTGCTACGTTCCCATGGCCCCGAGTCGCACCTTCAGCTGTCATGACTGTAAGAGTGGTCATTTGTGCGATGACTCTTTGGCCTAGCGGTAGACATCGTGAGGACAGGCATGTGTAAGAGCGCTGTCTTCTTTTCCACTTTAATCCCTAACGCCCTGGTAGGACACAGCGAGAGAGCAGCCGGCACGGAGCTGCTGCTACCTGGTCGTGAGCTCTCCTTCCTGCCTCGCTCATCCCATCTGAGGAGATAAACGGAAACAACCCACCCCTCCATCCAAGGAGTCAAACTGCCAGAAACTAAGCAGCTTCCTGAGGTCACAGGAAAATGTGAGTGGAAAAGGGGTTTCCAGGCCTCCTAACTGTACAGAGAAGCCATCTACAAGAGGACTTAAAAAAAAGGGAAAGTATTAAGGTTCCCAACACTGGTGCAGCAGAAAGTCACGGGTCAGCCGGCTTCCCTTTGTCGTAAGGGACATAACTATATAGTGGACAATTCAACAACAGAAACATTATACACAGAAGCAATAAAAAAGTGTCCTTACTTCCCAACTAGCACAGAAAAGACCACCAGCTTACACACTATGGTCAAACGAGGCTTATTCAAAAATGGTTCACTATTAGAAAATCCATTTCTATAATTCATCATAGGGGGAAAATCACATGATCATCTCCACCAAATTTAAATCTATTCATGATAAAAATGTGCAAGAAGGTAGAAATCAATGGATGTATTCCTTAAATATGACAAGATTAACGGCTCACCCCTAAACATCACAGTGTGAACGCATGGGCTCGCCTACACATGGACCTTTCTCAATAACTACACGGGAAAACTTTGTGGAGATTTGCAGTGACTTGAAAAAACACCTTTCTGTAGCTTACTTTATTCTAAGAATAAAATACGTAATACATATAACAAACACAATTTGTGTTAAGTGGCTGTTTATTGTCACTGGTAAGGCTTCCAGTCAAATGAGGCACTTAGTAGTAAAGTTTCTGGGGAGTCAAAAGTCAAGTGCGGATTTCTGACTGCACAGGGAGGTGGGCACGTTACTTGCACTGCTCAAGGGCCAGCCACACTTCATGGGAGAGTGGCCCGTGAGGCTGTGCGCTGCCCACACCCTGCTGAACCTCCCTTGAGAGGAGACGCGAGAGCAGGCGCGAGGGCACACAGCGGACACAAGGGCTGGACTGGGAAGAGGTGTGTGACTGCACACCCAGGAAGCTGGGGAAACCACTACTGTATTCACTTCTTACTGTCTCCAACAGGAAGAACACTTAGAATCCAGAAGTCAACAGCTTCATTTAACTGACACTAACAACAGCTGAAGATAGAGTGGGAATGATGACCACTTCCCAGAGGCCAGAGCAAAAAAAAAAAAAAAAAGGCCATGAAGCAGCTAGATGCGAAGCCCAAAGAGTGGGACCTGTGTGTGTCGGGAATCAGACACACCCACCCAAGGGCTCTGCAATCTTAAGCAAAAAAGTGGACTTAAAGTTTGTATGGTAGGAAAAAGGACAGAGGGGACAGGAAAGCCCTGAGAAAGAGTAGTTGAGCAGGGGTGGCAGCTGTGTCAGACATCAGAACAGGACACTAAGCACAGAGACACAGCAGCAGGGCAGCAGTGAAAGCCCAGGACAGACCCACTTAATATGAAAACTCAGGACTGGATTAAACAGCCTCTCAGGTCATTAGGGGAAACTCTCAAAAAATGGTGCTGACTCCATAGTCTGTACCTTGCACCATTCTCAGTAAGTTCCAACAAATCAGTGATTGGAAGCATACCCTTAACAAGCACCAGAGAAAACAAAAACCAACTTCCTTACAACCCACAACTGAAAAAAAGTTTTCCTAACAATGGCTCAAAATAACAAGATCAATGAACTTGACTACCCAATAGCTTTCACACAGCAAAACACAAAGATCAAAAAACGAATGGCGCAGGAACCATTCCTTGTGACGTGCACTGCCGATGAATGGTTTCAGGAGCCTGAGTCACTGAGCAAGATGGAGAACTTGCAGGTGACAGAAATGCACCCATGACCAGCCCATGCGCAGAGAAATGCAAGGTGCTCCAGGCACTGAAGATGCTCAGTCCTGCTCATCATAAAATGAAAATTACATGTACACCCAGCTACCTCCCAGATTGACAAAACTCCAAGTGTTTGAAGGGTCAGACAAGGCTGTGGCTGTCACGACAAAATCACATCTGTGGTTACCCTCTGACCCAGCCATCATACTTCTAGGAAGCCACCCCGAGATATGCTAGGTGAGAGGACAGCTCTTGCACAAGGCTTTCATCTTTACTGTGACGTGGTCTGTAACAGCCCGTCAGGAAGGCTCCCAAACGCTTGGCAGCAGGGACGCGTGACTGAGCTGCAGCACGCAGCCACGTACAGGAATCAGGCAACCACTATCTGCTGCTGAGAGGGCGCCACCAGAAAACGGGCAGGAGGAAACCAGGGCACAGAGCACTTCAGTATGACAGTAAAGGCTGATGGTGGTGCCCCGGCAGGGGAAGGACGGGACGGGGTGAGCAACGACAGTTGAGCACGTTTTAAATAATTTTCAAAATTGAAAATAAACTAGAACAAATGAACCTAAAATACATCAAGATGACCTAAACAGAGACTTACTTCAAATGATTTTAAAAACCGACTACTTTTCTACTTAATTAGAAGTATCAGTCTGAACTCACATGGCTTCATTCTAGAAATGTCAGAGTTCTTAGACAAACAGCTGATCTCAGGTCTGTGGGAGGAAATGGTTAAGGTGAGTCCACACAAACCCCTCCGAGTTAGAGACTAGGAAGTGACCAAAGATGAGCAGTCATGTCTGAAAGCTGCAGGTGCCAACCTGAAGGGGTTCCCACTGGCCAAGAGGAGGCAATTTCAGCGTAAAGGATGACAAATAAACCCATCAGAAATTCCTGATGACACTAAAATGATGATACCAGAGTACCTATTTATTCTAAACATTTAGGGGAGAAGGATCAGTTACTTAACCTGAAGTTGCCACTTGAATTGCTGGAGGAGGAAATTCCCCACAGGAATCCCCAGGAATGCAGAAGGGAGAGGTCTCAAGGCCACCGCCCGCATCCCGATGAGCTCAGGGAGTGATCACATGACCCAGCTATGAAGCACAAGGGGCCGGCAGTAGCTGTGGGCGGGCCTGGCAGAGACCCCCAAGTCCAGTCTCGGAACCACCGCCAAGGACGCAGCAGTGCCCACGGGTGGATATGGAACCAGTCAAGCCTCCAGACCTAACCACCAGCTTTACCGGAGTAGTAATGGCCAGTGCGACAGGCCGAATACCTGCTAGTCTCAAGAAATCAGTAGTAGGAAAGGAGGGGCAGGGCCTGCTGAGGAATGAGCGGAGGGGAGGCGGGTAAGCACAGGCCGCCGGCAGCCTCCTCTGCGGGCTGCTGGGCACCGATCAGCCTGGAAACATCTTTAAGATACTGAGGGAAGTCCACATACAGACTGGGTGGAACACAGATAGACTATGAAATTGCTATTAATTTTAGTAAGTGTGTTTGTGTCTGGGATTTGCTTTTAACGGGGGCCAGAGGGAGTGGAGAAGGTCTGGGAAGGTTGCCTTCAAAGTGTTCTCTCCTCAGCCAGGGCTCAATCACAAAGTATTTGGATATTCACACACCAGCAAATAAAAGCAAGTCCTCAAGCTTACTATGCACCAGACACAATGAGAAGCAATTTACACACATTTTCAACTTCCCACATTTAATGATTTAATTCTCTGAGGCTGGTGGGGTTAGGGACTATCCTAAGACCCCATGTGGCTACGTGATGGATGGGATCACACAGGGCTCCTCCTGCCCCTTGGCCCATCTTCTAAGCACACTGCAGAGCCAGCAACCCTGTGAGCTCATAGGCTTGGCGTCAGGCAGGACTGGCCCCCGTGTAACTAACTCACTGGAAGCTCTGTCTGTCATGTGACATTTCACGCTCCCCGCGTCTCTTGGTCTTTAAGTGGTGCTGCTTCAGAAAAGTGCACCACATTTATTTGTTGCAGTGGCTCCCAATTAACTTCTGAGTGATGGTATCAGACTGCTAATGACTATGTAACTGGTTTAAAACAAACAAAATCTCAACTTGCAATCTCTATGTTGGAGGCCTGGAAATGTGTATTTAATAGTAAACACGCTCAAGGATTCCCCCACCTTGCTCTGGGAACTGCCATCTGCACCCATGTCCTTATGACACTATGCAGCAAGCTCCGTGTCTTCTACGGCTCAAACTCCGGGATGAGCCTTTAATTTCAGGTTATTCAGCCAAATAACTAAAATGGTAGGTGTCCCAAGCTATTACTGATTTAGTGGCTTTTCACTTAAAATGCCGGGAGGCTCTAAATGTTGTCATTCTACCTCCGAACTATGGTGGGTCTGATGAGGTCTGAGCTTTGTCCCAGGAACCAGCAGCACTGTGTCCCCCTCGGGAGGACCGGATCTGGGGAACTCCTACCTGAGTCTGCAGCCGGGCGACAATGTCCTTCCGGGCTTTCATGACAGCATCCAGCTTCCCAGAGACCATGATGGAGAGGCCTTGGTCTTTGGCGAGAGACAGCTCCAGGTGAGCACCAGTCCTCTGCATGATCTCGAGACAGATTTTCGCCTGTTCACCTTCTCCAAACTGGTTCATGTCCTTGTATTTTCTCTCCTCCAGGGGTACATGGAACACCTGCTCAGAAAAGGTCAAAAAGGGAGGGGTCATAGAGCAAGAAGACGGGAAGGACATTTGAGTCCTGGCACTGAGCACAGGGTGGAGAGCACGAGTCTCTTCACTAAGCACCACCACGCACTACTCTGAGGCTGGCGGTGCACTTAAGGCCAGAGCACCCAAGGCCAGGAGGCTGATGCTTCGGTGTGGAGAACCGCCGCTGAGGCAGAGGAGGAGCTGGGGAGCATCTGACAGCAGCAAAGTTCAGAGAAGGACACAAACAGGCGGGTGAGGGAGGTGCTGGGGCAGGGCCCAGAGGGCCTTCTGAGACAGCAAGGGCCCTAACACGGAGGCTGCCAGGAGCAGTGCGGGCAGAGCCGGGAAGGAAGGGCTGGATCCCAGCACCCCCTGCAGCAGGAGGAGAGGGCAATGACGGACTTCAGGCAGGACACATCCCCAGTGCTGACTCGGGGTCACCCTGGCTGCTCTGCGAAGAGGCTGAGCAGACGGTGAGGGTGGGAGGAGGAGGAGCCAAGATGACTCCCAGTTCTGGGCCTGGACCACGAGGCGGAAGGAAGTGCGTTCAACAAATCAGGAAGACTGGGGAGAAACCAGCTCCATCGGGGACCCCCCTAGCAAGATGGGAAGATCCAGGAAGCAGGTGCAACACCGTAAGCAGACATGAATTCAGAGAGAAGTGCTGGGCCTGCCAGCACCCCCGGTTCAGGTGACAGAGGCAGGTGTCATGGGAGCAAAAAGAGTATTTCAGGTGGGACAACAGGTGGCCAAGCGGACACAGACAAGTTTCCACTGGAGCCAGGGCTGTGGAAGGGAAGGGCCATCTGAGCAGCTGGAAGCAAAGGCCGCACTGCATGGACTCGAAGACTCCCCGGGCCCTTGCTGGGCCGCCGAGCACTAGCGGAGCCCCCCAAGGTGGAGGCTCACTGATCAGAGCCTCCCTTTACATGCCCAAGCAGTCCTTAGATGCTACCGCTGGCTACTTGGAGGGGCAGCTGACGAAAGCGCGGAGTCTGTACCTGAGTGATGATGGAAGCCTTGATGGGCCGGATCTTGTTACTCCAGGCGCCAGCGGGTTCCTGGGTGTTTTCCAAACAAGCTGCTTTCTCGGGGAGTGGAGGGAAGGCATCCTTGTAGGTTGGAGGGTCGCTCTCCTCTTCTGAACTTAAAGTGGCAACTGGACCAGTCAACAAAGATTAAGGCAAGCACAGTACTTTTCAGTATCAGATGAAAAAAACACTCGTGAGGTTTTAACATCTAAACAGAACACCACTCCATTGAGAGCTCCCGCCATACCTCTTCATGGCGGACAAGGGCCCTAGGCCCACCTCTTCAGGATCAGCGTGTGAACTCTGACCCTGTGAGCAAAGCCCTAGCTTCCACACCCCCTCTGCAGTGAGTGGCCAGCTCAGACACCGGGTGCCCACTCCTCCTCTGATGGCGTGAGCCCCTGATGGCAGGCCTGCCAAAGAGATTTTTTAAGCCCTCAAGAGTTTTCTAATCCTGTTTCTAGAAAATCACAACTACAGCAATGTGTGGCGCACAGCAGGCAATTAAATTTGCAGAACAAAGTAACGCCACTGCCCAGCACTGCCAGTGAGAACTGCCTCTGAGGCCGACGCCTGCTGACTTCCCACGGAAAGCCCAGCGCTGTACATGCCTCTGGTGGGAACCGCAGCCTGGCTTCCCCTACCCTCCACAGGGAACAGCACGCTTTGGGGAAATCAGGCCCTAATCATCCACCACTTCCACCTTCCAGTGTCCTAGTCATTCAGGCCTTTGTCCCATTCGCCACAGCTCCAAGGGAGCAGAGGTGTGAGCACCGTGGAGCACTCCGAATGCCTGAGGATGACTGTGGTGCCTGGAAATGGCATGGCCCAGTGGAGAACACTGGGCATGATGTTCGCCCAGAGCAGGGGGTGACACAGACAGGCCCACATCCCACTGTGGGTTTGCCTCTACTGGCTGTGTGGCCACGCTGACCTCAGACACCAGTGGAGACCCAGGGTGGGCCAGTCGTTGCCCTGCTTCCCTCATCCAGAAAGGGGATGCAGACCCCACCGGGTTTGCATCAGGTGGAAAGACCAGGCCCTGCGGGTACTCAGCCCCAAGGTAAACCACGGGTGCAGATCTCCACCGCCCACAGAAAAGAGCACTTGAGATGTGGCCAGTGTGATTGACGAAGCTGATTTTTTATTTCAATTAATTTAAACTTAAGAACTGATATTTGATTCAGTCATTAGAAACACTTCACAATGTTTGGAACAACTTGGTGTAGAGCAATCTGCTCTTTGAACTGAAAACTGTCTAAAATCTAAATACAAAATGAAGGATTCTAGATGAAAATTTAGCACTCAAATCAAGTTGTCCTGTAATGATAAGTGCATAACAGATTTTGAAGGGGAAGAAAAAGAATGTAAAATATCAGTCTTTATTTCTGCATCACAGAGATGCTGACGTGACAATGTCTTATTAGACTCACTGCCCATACCCCATTCCTACTGAGGACACTATTCCCAGCTTTGACCAGCTGCCCTGGAAAACACAAGCCAGAGGCCTAGTGTCCAGTCACCATCAAGGCAGGCTCCTGATTGTTTGGGGATGCTTCACAGCCTGGATTTTAGGCCAATACACCAGGGAACAGCAATTTTAAAGAATCATCTCATTAATTACCAATGGCCAAATCCACTGGCTTTCCAGAAAGCTGTCCCCATTTTAAATCTTACTATATCCAGATTCATCCATCACTCCTGGCCAATCCCACCCTGCGTCAAGGGTAGGACAGAACAGAGCACACAAGACAGGTGGGTCCTGGCCTTACCCCACAGCTACAGGGCTGAACAGCACTTCTAGAAAGGCCCAGATTGGACAAGGATTCGGAGGGAGTGGTGCCTCAGAGTGAGGAAGAGAAGGGAGGGGACGTCACCTTTGATCTGTTGTGGAACCAGCCCACTGCGGTGTTCAGCGAAGCTCTCCTGGGTCAAAACTGCAACGGAGCTCATGGTTGGTCTCGTGCCTACACACAATCCGGGTGAGCCCCTGAAGTGGGAGGGCGTGAGTCAGAGAACAAAGTCAAGTACAGCCGACTCTCAGTATCTATGCCCGCTGAGCTCAGAGTTTTACCCAAGGGTTGACCGTTTCACCAGCAAACTACACCTTATTTTCCTCACTTACGCCTCCTGCGTAGGTGACACACAAACTCTCACCAAGTGATTCAAGAGAAAAATGCAAGTCAAAGAGAGTCCTGGACCACTTCCCCTCAAAAGCTGCCGTGAGGAGATGGAGGCAGGGACTAAGGGGTTCAGGACGGTCTGCACCTCTCTCCCCACCCACAGGGTCCCCAGGAACTCACCACCCATCTGATCCAGCCCCAACCCAACATCGGGATGGTTCTCCTAATAGCCATCTTGGTTATTTTGTTCATTTGTTCATCCACATGCCTCCTGAAGCTTCTAAAATGCTAAAATGTCGTCACATGACAGTTGCTACAAAAAGCCGATCAGTGTCCTTGAGTGTCTCATCCGGGGCCCAGGGACCTGAACAGACTCCCAGTGCTGCCTGGACAGTGTGGGCAGGAAGGACTCACAGGACTCTGTGGCCATAACGTGAGGGCAAGAGGCCACAGGAGCGACCCAAAGGGGGTGCGGGGAAGGGCCTCATATGTGCCCACTGGTTATTCTCCAGCATCTGTCTCCCAGGGGTGGGAGAGCTCTTGTGGCAGGTGGGGCCTGGCTAAGGCCACAGTTCCTCAGTTCAGGGAAGAACTGGGCAGTCCTCCTCCAGGCCCTACTCCTGAGTGCACAGGACTCAGGTGGCCTCTGCAGGAAAGGGGCTCCCTGAGCACTGAGGCAGGTGTGTGAGCCTCCTCCCGGCCAGGGGGGCTCCATGCCCACACTGCGATGAAGGACCACCCGCTCTCCTCATACAGTTACACACCTGGCATCTCCTTAAATCACCATGGCCAAAGTATTGAGGGTCAAGTGATTAGTAAGAATAGTGAGTTTTTGCATGATTTTTATATCTCAGTAGGACCCCTCCCCACCCAAGTTCAAGAAGACTAATAACCTGTGTCCCTAAGAGATGTTAATACCCCAATTCAGACAGCCCCACGCACATAATCCACAGTGAAGGAAAAGATCAAGAGTAAGTGGGAGGCAGATGACACGTGTGAAGGGCACGCAGGGATGTGCTGCTCGCGCTGCAATGCTCTCTGAAGAGAGACCAGAAACTTGAGGATGAAGGGAAGGAAAGAAGGTGTATACACAGCCTGGGGATAGGAAGCCTTCAGACAGGACAGTCAAACTCACCAGCGAAGAGGTCAGTAGCCAGAAAGTCCGTCCTGAGGCTGCCTCTGCTAGCCTGCCAGCTTTGGCTGGTGTGGGGCAGGCAGGGGGAGGGAACAAGGAGAAAACCAGAGAAGTTACTTATCTGCACTCTATGATGTCGATCCTTTCACCTCCCAACCAGAAAAGGTGAAAATATCATTTACATTTGGGTTACTGACATCAATACTTTAGCGAGTTCCTAGGAGGGGGAAGGGGGCTCTGCCCCTCGGCCGTGCTTGCTGTGAAGCAGACACATCGCAGTGGGGCCTGGGCCCCCGGGGGCGTCAGAAGCAACTTCCCCCGACAAGGGATCGCCTAAGTGCCACTACTCAGCGGAACACTTCTGAAGCAAAGTCCTTACAAGACTGATGGTTGAGTAACTTTTTCTGTACTCCTTAATATCCGATTGTTAAGCCAAAAGGAAAAAGGTTCTGTGAAACCATGCGGCCCCGTAGAACAGAATGTGGGCCTTTGGGGCTCCTGAGCCTTTCAGGGTGGCTGAGAGCCGCTGCCTTTCGGAGTCCTCCGCATTTTTGCACAGTCACTTTGCTCTTCTTGCTGTTATCTCGTGAAACTCCTCCTTTAGTCCCTTCTAATCCACTGGGGATTTAGAAACCAGGCCATAAAATAGCAGGTTGGAAGGAACCTTCAAAGGCTACCTGGGAGGAGCAAAGCCCTGCTCTGTGAAGTAGAGTGTGGGTCACTGTGCCTTGGGGGACTTGGGGGTAGTGAGGCTGCCAGGTAGGTCGCCTGCCACACTCTGTGAGGTGCACAAAGGCAGACTTTACGGCCTGGGCAGGGCATGTGTCTAGAATGGGAGGATCAACAGCAGCAGCAGGAACATCCTACCTGTCCCCAAACCCCAAACCCCAAACCTTTCCCCATTAAACACACGGCTCAGGAGCTAGGAAGACAGTTCATGGCAATGGGGGTGGGGGCGGGGGGCCAACTGTCCCAACTGGGGCACAGGCCAGTGGCATTTCAGGAGTTTTGAAAATTTAAGTGCAGGGCCTGAGCTGTGCAGGTAAAGTGCTATGAGCCACAGGCCAGAGCCCCTCTAGACCCAGTCCCATCAGACACACAGGTGTTCCTGAGGCTGAAGGGGGAAAGCTGGAGACAAACAGACCAAGATCATTTTATTTAAAAACCTGTCTTAAACCAATTCTAATTAGCAAGTTTTAAAGATTAAGGCAAGGAGGCAAGAAAGCCTTTCCATTAAATCAAAGCATCAGAGTGGTGTAACTCTAACATGCTGGCTTGACATGCCGACAAAGGCAAGTACTCTTGGGACTGCAAGTGTCCGGCCGGTGCAGTTAGCCAGTCTGGAGCAAGACAGAGGCGTTCTAGGTCAAAGCACCGGGAAGCCAGGACCCAGGGGTCCACCCTGCCCTCCTTGCTCAGAATTCCGACTCAGGCTACACTCACTCTTTTGCCTGCTGACCTTCCATCTGAACAGCTGCCCACTCCAGGTCATCCCAGTTGCCAACATCACTTCCTGAAACCCAGTGATATCTATCCCTTAACATGCCAGGTCCATGTATGTGACCGACGCCACCAGCACCCTCTTGTCCGTGCTCCCACAACAGTCTTCCTGCCTCCCTGGATGGGGCCAGTCTTCAGTGCCATCACAGCCACACAACAACCTGTGGTGTGCCACTGTTCACTTCCACTCCAGCCACAGGTCTGTAAAGATAAGCAGTCCCAACTCTGCACCTGGTGTTGGTGCCAATTCCTGAAGGTATCTTCTGAGATAGCTCACCTTCCAGGGGCAATTCCAGCTAGCCCTTCTATCAAAGCCCTGGGCCCCAGGGGCTCTAGGAAGCAGCATCAACACAGCTGAACTGGCCAAGTAGTGCACTGGAGGGAGGGCCTATCGCAGGGCCCCTCAAGTGCTCTCAAGTGCACAGGCTCTCGGGCACCTGGCACAGGACAGACAGTGGACCTCCAGACTAGTGTGACAGACACACTGGGTCGCTGTCTCCACATCTCACACAGCAGCTCAGTCACAGCTGGAAACAAACAGACCACAACAAGCAACTGACTGAACATCTAGAGTTCTGGTATCATCAAGTATGATGGTTGTTTTTCTTATAAGCTCCTCAAAACCCTGTCCTTAAAGAATTTATTCTGAACATAAACCCAACAACCCATACGAAACGCAGAGCTGGACACCATCTGTGCTTTAGGCTCAACTGTTTACCTGCCTCTAGTTCAACACAGCAGCCCCGAGGAGCTGTGCCCACAGCCTGACGCTCCCTCCAACCTCCCACTGGCCTAACTGCCTTCTAAGCACACCCAGCATGCTTACCCGCCCTGCTCCACAGGGGACTTTCAGCACCCTCTTAAAAGTGAGGGCAGCTGGGTGTGCGCTCTGCTCCAGCTCCTTTGCTTGGGATCCCAAGCTCCCATGACACCTAAGTCAGGCCCCGTTATCAGAGAAAAGAAGCCAAACACATGCTATCAGTCCCCCACTTCATCTAGTACCCGCTCAAACCAGGATGCAGGGACCTTAGACACCACTCGGCCTCAGTCTGAGTGCCACCAGGGACAAGCTGCATGGCTTTCCAGGGGGCCCACCCCCACCTCTGTGTAGCCCTCAGAAGAGTCTGTTATATGATGCCAAATTTACAACTGCCTTCCCCCTTCTGGCCAGAGAACAAGCCCACTCTTCCCTCCAGGACTCCATTCAGACCCGTGAAGCCCCTTCTCCTGCCTCCTCCAATTATTCCCAAGATGGCCCTGTCTCTTCATCGGTTTGGTCGCTCTTACCTCCATTCCCTGCACGAAGCATTCAGGCCCATCCAATGCAAACCTCAAACTATTCTCAACCTGGACTTTTAAGTGGAGTTTCTCGGAATATACATGTCCACAGGAAAAAAAAAACACATCTCAAAATATAACTATGCAGCACACAGCTAGAACCAAAGGAAGAGGGTGGGTAGCAGTAAACAATCCCTCCCACCCCAGGGAGCTGTCAAGCCCTCCGGACTCGGTGCGTGGGAGAAATGGGAAGCGATGATACTGTAGATTACATCTGAAACTTGCTCCAAAGATAGGATAGAAAAGTCTTTAAATGAAGTTTTACTGTGTTTCTAAACAAGTTGATTTCCTTGTGACATTCTGCCAATTACGTATTCAAAAGTAAGAGTCTTTGCAGAGAGAAAGTTCACAAAGCCTAATCCAAGGAAGGCCCTCGCACAAGACTGGAGGGGCAGAAGGCGGGCACTGTGCGTTTCACCGAGTTCTGGAAATCGGCACCATCCTGCAGGAGGAACTTTCGCAGATGCCACCTCAGCAGGCCCTCCCACAGGCCACGCGGGCCCGCGGGCGGGGACAGGCTTAAAGGGGCAGTAGCGCGGTCGGCCTCCCCGCCTTTCATCCAAATTCGGTATTTTTCCTAAATGTCTTTTTCGTGCACGGACCCTGGGGCCCGTCCAAGTTGCATCCCAACCCTGACCACGCAGGCGGGCAGCAGGTGGAGGTGCTCCGGGCCTGCCCTCTCACCCCCCACTCCCCTCCACCCCGGCCACCAGCGCTCCCCTGCGGCACAGGGGACAGGCCCGCGCGCCCAGCCCCTCTGGGCTGGAGAAGGGGCGCTCGTAGTGGGGGGCAGGAGGGAAAGAGGGAGCAACGGCCAGAGCCACCGTCACCGACCCAGGCCCAGGTTGGCCGCCCCTCCCCCAGTGCCGGGCTGGGCTGGGCGCCGGGGTGGAAGCGCGGCCCTGGGGGGCTGCAGGCCGGGCGCGAGGCGCGGAGGAAACCGGGCCCCGGGACTGCGGCGCGGCCGGGCCCCGTGCGCGGACTCAGGAAAGTTTCTCACTGCCGGTGCCAGAGCCGCGGCCATGCGCGGTGGTGACACGTAGCCGTCCCCCCACCCCCGCCGGGCAGGGCCCGCGGGAGGGGGGCGCCCGGGCCCTGGTGGGGGTCCCGGCGGGGCGGTCGGGGTGGGGGGGCAGAAGGCCGCCTGGCCCCCTCCCCTGCCGGCGCCCCACGTCGGCAGGGCGCGCCACCGCCCCGCCCCCGGCGCCCCAACTTGCCAGACCCCGCCCCGGGCCCAGCCCCGCTCGCTCACTCCTGGGCTCGCGTCCTGCCGCCTGTCCGCCTGTCCGACGACCCGCCGCGCGGGAGAAGCCGGTGCTCGAGGCCGGCGCCCGGGCCCCCGCCGCTATATAGGGCGGCAGCTCCAATCCCGCCGAGACACGTCAAGCCGCGGCGCCCCGCCCCGCCCGCCCCGCAGCCCCGCCCCGCAGCCCCGCACGGGACGAGCTCCCGGGCCGCCGAGCGCAACTCCGAAGAGCTTGGCACCTCCCAGGCGGGGGGGACGGCGGTCGGGAGCCGGGAAAGGAACCCCACCAAGGGGCCGGCCAGGAGCCCCGCAGGGTCTGGCGAGGAGGACAGGGCAGGAAGGAGGCTCTGCTTTGGAGGCAGGGGCCACCAACGACGCCACCCCCACCGAAACAAGAATCCTCTGCGACAACACAAAGGAAATTAACTGCTGGCCGCGACCCTTTACAACTTCCAAAAGCTGGATGACAGGACAACGCTAGCCTAATAAACTCCCGTGGGGAAGCGATCGTGCCGCAGAGTGGGGGGCCACAGAGCTTCATTCCCTCACACCTCCCTTCTGTTCCTTGCGCCCCTCACTTCCACAACACACCCCTACTCTCTTCTTTGGCTACCAGTTTAATCCACTTCAAAACGTGGAGCCCCTTCCTTTAAATAACGCATTATCTCTGCACTTATCCAGGTAAGAATGCGTGGGCAACCGTGTGCCCAACCCGAGACAAGACTGAGCAGGGCTCCCACCCCAGTGGGCGGGCTGCATTCACTGTGTACAGTGGTAACTGCCTGTTTGGTTCTTGTCCGCAGGTACAGATCCAGTGTAGGAATTTGTACATACAAGGTTGGTTACACCTCCAGAGAAGTGGCATGGACACTGAGCGTGCGCCATAGATGGGGCACACATCAGGGGAACAGCGAGGTCGGGCAGGCGGGAAGCCCAGGGCTGGGTCAGCACAACCTGTAGTAAAGACACAGGTGCTGCTCA